TAATACAATAAGCATTGTCTATTCCTTGTCTAATGATATTACAGTATTTAGTTATGATCTAAAAATATTGAATAATACATGAATTCCTGTTAGCTGAACACAAAATGTACAGTCTTGAACTAAAGGTTTTATTTTACCTCTTCCTATCCTCCACTTTACTTTATAAAAGAAAATCACTTGCCTCTGTGGTCAGGGATTTTAAAACATGGGGAGAGAAAAGACAAATGGTCTAAGTGGCCAGTTATTGAGTGAGACCTATATAAGTTTATAGCCAAGGGAATGTTTCTGGTTAGGAAAAACAATAGTAGGGATTCCAAACTGTGAATTGTTAACTGGAGTTCTTTGGAAATACTATTTGGCAAGTTTTGCCTGCGTGTGGCAAGTACAAGCAGGCAAACACAGTTAACAGTAGATACAAGCGCATGGTTCTCAGACTTCAGTTTGTGGCCTGGGCATGTTTCCCGAGGTTAATTTTATTCAAGGAAGTTAGACATTTTTCAGATCTTATATGTACTCAAGCCAGTTTATATTGTTTACCTTTCTTTCATTCTTGCCCAATCTCCTTCCTTTCCTTCTCCCTCCCTCTCTTACTTTTTACTGAATTAAAAAGAAAATTATGAAATAGTTCCAACATACAAGTTGCAGAAAATAACATGCACCAGTATCTATATCATTCACTGTGCTTGCTTTAGATTCTTCTTAAGAAATGAAACATTGTACTTGTAGTTAGTGCCATCTGTGTATCTCCATCTCTTTCCTCAGAGATAACCACTATCGTGGAGTTGCATTTTTTTATGCTTTATACCATATATATTTGCATCTGGTAATAAAAATATACTGGATTGATTTGAATGTGTTCACATTTTATAAGTACATATTGGTCTGGAACTTGTCTTTTTCACTCAACATGTTTTTTCAGACTTATCAATGCTGATAAATGTGGTTCACTTTATTGCCTGGTATTCTGTTTTAATACTAAAATGTAAGGAAAAAAATCCATTCTTCCATTCTTTGGCTCATTTTTTCACATTGTGTATGGTGTCTTTTGGTACATAGTTCTTACTTTTAAAAGTTGGAGTCATTTTTTAAAAAAAAATTTTGGTTGGACTTTTTGTATTTTAAGGACTTCCTAACCAAGTTCATATGTATCTTTTTTCCTGTATGTTTCAAACTTACCAATTTTACTTTTAGATCTTCAATCTTGTATAGTAGTGTGAAATGGAAAATTTATTATATAAACAACTAGCTGTCCCAGCAATAGTAATTGAATAGCCCATCCTTTCCCCATAAATTTGTAATATTAAATTTCCTGACTTGTATCAGTCCATTCTCAGTATTTTATAATGTCCAAGCACAGAGAAGTAAAACGAAGTCTTGAGCAAAATATCCAGAAAATCTAAGCTTTGAACTCAATGTTGAATTTAAATTCTGTGTGTATGTGTGCATTTTTAACCCTGTTATGTCAACCCACATCTGTGTGTGTAACTCCAACAATCCTTTGAAAATGGAATTTTGTTTGCATTGACTTCATGTTGCCAGTATTTGTGTTAATGAATATTGAACACCTAATCTCAAACAATCATTAGTGTAAAAAGGACAGTAATGACATTGTTCTATCTATTACTTTTCTATGGATTTAGCCAATGTTTCTCCTAGATACCAAAACTCAAATTATATCAGTTAAGTAAACAAACCAAAGCTCGGACTATTGACAACCAAGTTGTATAGTAAGGTACAATATTGCATCTGTGTTTGAAGATGTAAAGGTCTGATATCCACAATAAATGTAATGAGGTCCTTCTATGTATGTCTATGGTAAACTATGGGTTAAACAGTCAGGTGGTAGGCCCTGCTATGTGCATGGAGTTTTACTGAATTGTGTAGCTTTTAAAAGAAGAATAAACTTGCCCCAAGGTTAAGATATGTAAGTCGAAAAATCTGAAGGAAATATCATTACCCATGAAGATTTAAATTTATTCAGATGGGGAACTCATTGATTTGTACCCTCTAAGGGAAAGATTACTGCTAACGGTGACAATGGAATGATGCTGTGTCTGGGGTTTTAGAGTCCGGGTCTTTTGCGCTTGGTGGCTTGTGTACTGAATTGATGTGATTGTGTACCTAGCCTCAGATGCCTTTGACCTCATCTTCTATCCCACTTGGGACGAGGGGAACTGATTGCTCTTTCTTCAGTGCTCCACAAACCAAAGCAGACAGCATGTGAGTCCAGACATGGAACGCACAACCAATCACATCCATGCAGAGAATTGTGCAAAAGAAGCCTAATGTTGTCTAGGTGCTGTGTCTTATGTAGTTCTCAAACTTCAATGTGCAAAAAAGTCCCCTGGGTATTTCGGGATCACATGCCTAGCTCCTGAATCAGTAGGTGTCAAGGGGCTAGGAGTCTGCATATTTAACAAGCACCACAGGTGGTTCTGATGCGGGAGCTGTGTATTAAAGAAACTTGGTCATTCACAGTCTCTGTCACGATTTGGTTGTATTCAAGTGCAATTGGTACCATTTTAATTTAATATTTCCTTTTAATAGAGTCACTTCTTTTGCATAAGTAAGTTTAATTAGGAAACTATCACTATTCTGAAGGTATAATTACTATCAGTATGAAGAGAAGGTACACGTGAATATACATTAAGATAAAGTGTATGTACTTATACATGTATGTATATATATATATATAGATATGTACATATACATAATCATACGTTATGGTTTTTCCTTCAGGTTTTTCAATTTAAATGTCAACTTTGGGGCAAGTTTATGTATGCATAGTATAATATATATATATATTTATATTTCTTCTGCTTAACATTCTTTAATATAAGTATGTAGTTCATCTGTTTAACATTATATTTTGTTTCATAGTTTAGCAAACACTGAGTTAAAGAAAAGGGTTAGTGGGAGAAAGAAGAATTTTACCTCAAGCCTTCAGAAATTAGGTCTTAGCCCTGCAGTGAGGAGTATTTATAATTTTAGAAATAACACATAGGAATGTGGCTGACATGCTTTGAGATGACAACTCTAGCTCTCTGCTTAGTGGAGGGCACCTCAATAGGAGAAAAAGTTCACTGAGAACTAGCCAAGAAACAGAAAGGAGAATATATGTCTTTTTAAGAACTAGAAAGCCCTGTTTGCAGAGGTGAGCTCTTTAGTGTTGGTAGTAAACTTTCATGGAAGGGAAGAGAAAGGGAGGGATGAAATTGTTTATAATTGTGAGGGGCATATTATGTGCCAGGCACTCTAACACTCATGAAAATGCTGTGACTTGTGCACATCATTATTGAGTCTGCTGTGCAGTTGAGGGAATGGCGTGGAGGAACTGGAGCCATTTTCCCAAGATTCTGTAGCTATTGCAGGTTCCCACTAACCAAAGAAGAGGGAGCAAAGTGACAAAAATCACAAGAATCTTATTTCTATTCAGACTTGATAAAAGAAAAAATTATCTATGAAGTTTTAAGTTTTAAATATTTACATTAACTTAATTTGGCATTTTTTGTCACTACAATCCTGAACATGTGTCATCTTGTGGGCCTCGTGGTAGGCATGGAAACAGTTTATCTCTCCTCGGTCTTCCAATTAAGACTTCTCATCTGTAAAGGGTTTCCTTGCTGTCAGCTCTCTGGGTTCAACTTTTAGTGTGGTAACCTTTAGTTATAATGTGAAACTGAAGAGAGAAAATTTTTTTTTAAATTCCTGTTTTTGCTCATGAATTACTTCATGGAAAGAATGATCATTAACATAACCTGTGGGTCATACCACAGAGACCTACCTGAGTATCGCATTTACGGGGGAAACCATAGGTCAGTCAGAGGACTGGGAAAGTGGGAAAACTTGGCTCTGGTGAGTAAGCCATTTTGGAAGAGCTAATGAATCAGGCTGGACAAATTCTTTCATTTCACCTTTGGACAGATTTTGTTAGAAATACATTCAGGATTATGCTTGGATATTATGATGATCGATTGGGATGACACTAACTTAATCTCCTGCATTTGGAGTTCTTTTTAAAAGAAAACATCCCAGCCTTCTATTCTCAGAGGTAATGATGAGCTTCATCCACTTTCAGCCATTTTCCATGCAGTCTGCATTATAATTTCACAACAATTATCATGAGACATGAGACAAATATCAAAATAGCACAAGCATTCTTGAGATTTCATAGGTATCGGATATTGCATAAAATGTCGATAGAAGTGCCAAGGAAAGCTGAGTTTTCCCTGAAGACTTTTTCTTCCCTATTTGACAAAGAATGATGAAACTGACCCTCTCTCTATCTTTCACTCTTTGGAAGAGAAACTCAGAACCAAATTTGAGTCCCCTCATCTGTAGTACTTCTGGCCTCAGAGTCTCTGTATCATTGTTTTTTCTTCTCTGCCTTAGACTTTCAGCCCTACCTTATCTTTTCCTCGGGCCTAATTATTTTCTTACATGTGCTGTGAGGCTAGGTGGCATAGAACAACAATTAACTGTATAAATGAGTAATTTAAAGGTTTGATTAAAAGTAGACCTAAAAATAAGTGGTCTGTATTAAATTTCCAGTGTTAGAAATAATGTTGACTTGAGCAAATGACAGAGAATTCCTTCTTCCCATGCTTTTGGCACCTTTACATTTGTATTTTTTTCCTTTCTGTGAGCCTTTACAAACTTGTTTCTCAAGGCCATTCCCACAATGTCTGTCCTACAGAACCACAGAAAGAGTTTGGAATTTGTGTTCAGAGTTGCTTTGGACTCTAATCCAATATGAGATAATTTTATCTTTTGCATTTCAACTAGTTCTAAATGTATATTCCTACACCATTAAAAAGAATTAGTAATTCTCTGAAATAACCTGCAAAAATACAGTTAGAATAATTTTAGTGTCTTATTTTGGTTAGGGATGGGCTTTTTGTTGTTTTTAATCTCAAGATTATGAAGTTTTAATTGTTTATTTTTAGTAAGATCTCAGTTTACATTTGAGCTTAGTAACAAAGTATTTTTTCTCCTTCCAGACAGAACTAAACTCTACATCTGCCTTCCTGAGTAAGGAATTGTCTGAAGCCACAAGAACTTTGCTGGATAGTCTGGGGTCACTGACCCAAGAGGTAAGTTGTCATTCTAGCACCAGAACACAGACAATCTGCTAACACTTTTTTTGACCCTGAGTTTGGTTAAGAGAAGGTCGTTTTGGTTTGAGTATTATGTTAAATGTGAAATCAATTTTCGAAGCACCAGTGATCTTAAAAGTTATCTGGATTGATCTCCTTACTTTATAGGTGAGGAAATGGAGTCTAATAGATGTCTCAGAGCTAATTAATTAGTGGCTAAAGGCCTGATATCCAGTCTAGAATTTCCTCGCATTGTTACTTTTCGCTTCTAGTCAATAACTTACTTGTAAAGAGGATAATTCCCTCTCATTCCCCTACATCCTGCATCTGTTTTACTAGCAACTTCTCCATATTTCTTATTCAGTAGCAAGGCCAGGTGATCTTTTTACAAAATATTTGCTAACTAAAGGAAATAAATGGTACCCCCTTATTCAGATCTTTCACTTAGAAATATGGTCTCTGAGATTCAACTTTGGATATGCAGTACTTCTGTGAACATTGTTAAGTTTGCCTTTCAGGTCCACATGTTGACAAATTTATCCAATAACCTTATATTCATTCATAGGAACCAGAGGGCCTGTAGTTGCCTGCAAAAACAGTTAAGCTTTCCTCTGCCTCCCATCCAGCATCTGCTTCATCTTCCTGGCACCTAGCCTTGTTTCAAATTTGACTTGGAAAACAGGAACTTTCCGGAGTCCAGTATAAGGAGCCGAGCCAGGGGCAGTGGTCAGAAACAACACTGGCCTTAATTTATAGGACATTGCATATTAATAATTTGTGGGAAAATTTTCTCAGACTTGTTCCAGCCTTATTTTGAGTTGCTTCTCTAACTCATTTTTTTGGTGCTTGTATTATTTTTCTCAAATATCTAAATGTATGTTTTCTGTGAGTGAAAGTATTGCATGTTTATTATGGAAAGTGCAGAACATTTGGAAGATACAGAAAACATGAAAATTAAACACTGTTGACCCTTTAGTGTATTGCTTTTGGTTCAGTTCTCTTTTTTCTTTTAATTTTGCTTATGTGTGTCTGACTGAAGAGGCTTGGTTTTTGGGTCCCTTTCAGGGGAAGTCCTCTTCCAGCCTGCCTTTGTTACTCCAGTTCTGAACGCTGGTGACCTTACTGTAGGTGGAGAAGCTGGGTCACCAGGGTTCTTCCAGGAAGCGGAAAGAAAACAGAAACTGCCCTGCAAGGCCATAGGCATTTCTCTCGGCTCCTGTTAGCTGACACTGACATGCCCTGTACTGCCCTTGCAGGTCCCCTCCCAGCTTTAGCGACAGCAGAGCAATGACTGGAGCATAGGAAGCTGCCTCTAACTCAGGGTCTGGTTACAGCTGTTTCCTTTTACATCACTGGCCAGCCTTTTGTCTGGGGTAAAAAATAAATAAAAGAATTGAAAGCATGTGATGCTCCCATTGCTGATGTGGCGGAAGCTTGTGGCGGAAGCTCTCCAGCTGAGCAATATATATTTTTCATGGTGGCTGCTTCCTTGTGCCCTGCTTGCTACCTGGTTCAGGGCGAGCCAGGCCGCCTGCTCCTCTCAGTGGAACACCTATAAATTGCTCTGACCAAGAGTTACTTATTGGCTAACTTGTTATTTCTCTGGGACAAATGGGGGAAGATAAATAAATGTATTCGTTTATCTGTTCAGTGTTTAGAATGAAATTGGTTGTTTTGACCAAAGCACAACGCTTGAAAGAAAAAAGGGAAAGGAAGCAGGGAGCTATTACTTTCTGGGGACTGCCCCTGGTTCATGAGGTTCTACCCAGTTTTCCTCTAATCCATATGACAGATGTGAGTAGCTCTTATGGTATCTGTTTCACAGAAGACACTGAGGCTCAGAAAAGTTAGACAGCTTAACGCACAGTCACCTAGTTAGTTAACTGGCAAAACTGAGATTTGAACCCAGGAGCGTTAGACTCCAAAGCCTATGTTTTTGCCGCGATAGCCCATTTTTTGTCTAATGAACAATGGTGATAACTGTAATAGACTAAAAAAGGAAACACTTCAGAGAAGAAAATATGGATTAATGGCCTGGCAGTTAGGTGGAAATGGGGACTTTAGGAGCTAGATGAGACAAAGCTGACATGAGCTTCACATCTGGTGGGTAGGGAAGATACGCCTGATGAGATGGGGAAGGCTGGGCAGTTATTTGTCTAGCACCTACCAGGTGCCTGGCATTGTGAGATGGTGGGGATTCACCTGTGAGCACTCTAACTTCCCCATTCTCATGGGGCTTGTGTGGGGTGGGAGAAAGAAATGCACAGGTGAGCATGTAATGTGACAGCAGACATACTTGCAATGAAGAAAAATAAAGCAGGGTAAGAGGGATAGTAGGTGAGGAGGTGGTGTTTTAAAAGGGGTCATTAGAGAAATCCTCTCTGATAAGGTGACAATTGAACCTGAAGGAAATGACCGTATGTCTGCCACTCCAAGCAGGAAGAACTGAAAATACAAAGACCCTGGAACAGGGCATGATTAAGGAATGTGTTTCAAGGCCAGGAAGGAGGCTGGTGGGCCAGAACAAAGTGAGCGGCCGAGAGGGTGGTTGGCAATGTGATCAGAGAAGTAGGCGAGTGCTGTGAAGGCTTGGTAAGGCCAGACTTAGGCTGAGGGGAGCGGGAAGCCAGTGGAGGGTTTGGAGCAGCGGGGCATATGATATAACCTAGAGTCTGCAAGCCTAGAGTCTGTTTGCATTCTGGCTTTTAAACGGAGAAGAGACTGCTGGGGGTAAAGGAAGGAGGAGGCTGTTAAAGCAGATTGGGAAAGCCGTAAGTCAGCAGTTCACTCAGCCACAGATGATTACCACAAACTGCCTTTCAGGGCTGCAGGACGACTGGCTACCCTTCCTTGTGAGTAGGAGTGCGTCACAGGAAGTGTGGGCCAAAAGCTGAGGTGCAGAAGAATGAGCAGCAGTTTGCCCCTAAGACAGGTGCTGGGAACAGCCAGCAGTGTGGAATAACTCACTCCTTTTGGTACCTGTATCCAAAAATGTACTGGTTTTATGTGGGAAGAAGTTTGTTCTTTTGGTTGGGGATTGGTGGGATGCTGGTGGTGAGGTGGCCTGTGGAAAGAGGAGTGGCTTTTTCTCACTGTCACTTAAAAGTCTCCAGGGTTGTTTCTATGCACCAACAAAAGGAAAGGTGGTCTGGCTACCTCTCCTCTCCCTGTCATATATTCATACAGGTTATGAAAAGATAAAAGCTGACCACCACTGTGTTTTCGTGGGGTGTGTCAGGTATTCCACCCTAGAGGGAGAACTCTGTGACATCTGACCCACCCCTGGGGTCTCTGGTTGCCCTCAGGAAACAGAAGGCAAAGTCAGGACCTACAGAATCCATTATCGTGTCACTCATAGGAACCAGCAGGCTCTGTGAGACAGAAGACTGCATGCAAGGAGCTGGAATCTGGGCCTTCTCCAGGGTGTGGGCAAGGGTTTATTAATGATTTATTGTGAAACTTGTGGAAATACAAAGTGTTCTATAAATATTTAATTGTAAGAGTAGTTGGGCCAAGAACTCCACAAGGTGCTGGAGTACATTTGTATGTGAGACCCAGCCCCTGACTGCTGGTATGTCTGATTCATCCTTGCAGCGCCCTCTCTCATATGGTTTGTGGCTTACTCCCCACCACACTATTTTAGCTTCAAAGCCTTGATGAGAAGTTGGACCCTTAGAGAAGCAACTTTCCTAAGGCTGTAAGCTAATGAGAGACATAACTGCGGTTCAAACTCAGGTCTTCCACCTTATGCTTTTTCCATTGCCTGACAGTAACTAAGACAAGGATGGCGGCTTCACACATGGTACCTTTTCTCCAAAGGGTCAGGGGGCTCCTTAGTTTCCACATTAAAGTTTGATGTGTTTTAGAAATGAGTTGCTGATTTTGAGGGTGTGAGCAGGTCCTGAGGTATGTATATGAACATAGAGCTGTTCAGAGAGAGCATTCTCTTACAAACCAGAAAACAATCCAACTGAAGTAAAGCCCATCACCACGGGCTCCTCTAATATCCAGGCTGTGCTTCTCAGTCTTTAATGTGCATAGGAATCGCCTGGACATCTTATGAAAATGAAGATTTGAGCTGTAGCTAGATAGATTAGAATTTGTGTTTCAAACAGCCTCTCCCAAACTACTGGTGCTGCTAGCGCCACTCACAGGTGGAGTCACAGGTTCTGGCTGTCCCATCACAAGACTAAGAGGAGATGTTGTCAGACAAGGCATGGTCTGGGATATGGCTTTGTGGAAGTCAAGAAAATGAGGTGTTTCTTTCTCTTCGCTGTTCTAACCCTTGCTTTACCTACCCCTTTATCCTCTTCCCTCTTGTTTTCCTCCTGATACCTGACACCAGCTGTTCAGCATGAGGAGCTGGAGTGACATGCGGCAGGAGGTGATCTTTCTGACCAACGTGAACAGCTCTAGCTCCTCCACCCAGATATACCAGGCTGTGTCCCGCATTGTCTGTGGCCACCCCGAGGGTGGGGGCCTGAAGATCAAATCTCTCAACTGGTATGAGGACAACAACTACAAAGCCCTCTTTGGAGGCAACACCACTGAAGAAGATGCTGACACATTCTATGACAATTCCACAAGTGAGTGTCTGCAGACTGAAGCCCAGGCCCCAGCCCACCTTGTCTAGACTTGGCCTATGTCACCTCCTGCTTGCTGTTATCCTCTGTGGCAGCATTGGACATTTACGTGTCTGTTTGCCCGCCATATTGAGCTCCTTAACTGTCCCCACTTCTTTGAATGGGGCCTGATACATCTCAGGTGCCCAGTGTGTTTATCAAATGAATGAATGATTGAGAGCCAATCTCTCCAGTTGCCTGGGGTGTGTAGGAGGGTGGTTCCCAGAGTAATCAAGGATCTTTTTCTTCTTCCTCTGTCCCCTTTCTGCACTCCCCAACTCGATGTATGCTTTATGATAAAAACTTAAAATAATGGTATTAATAACAGTAATAAAAGCTAAATGTCAGGAACATTTCCTGTGTACTGTACATTCTATTTATCTCCTTTAACCCTTAAAATAACCCTGCAAAGAAGGTCTTACAACTCCACATTATGTAGGCTCGGAGAGGTTAAATGGCTTGGGCAGAGCCCCACAGTAACTAATCCACAAGAGCTGGATTAAGCTCAGATCCACCTGGCTCCATGCTGTTTTCCAGTAAACCGCATGGCCTGTTAATAGTGGCGTGTGTACAGTCAGATTTGGGCATTTGATCTGCTGTTTGTTTTTGGTTCTTAGTCGCAAGGTGGTGTTAAAGAACCTGTAACTCTATATTCACTGTCCACACTAGGTACTTTTGTGGGGATGTGTGTCCTTACCTGGTAGCAGCGAGGAGCCAGTGTTACAGTTTTAGACAATGGCATCCTTTTCCTTGAAAACATTATGCAAGTAAGCCTTTCTCCATTTTCAGCTGTAGGTGTGTCTTTCAGATCCTGAGTGAGGCAGCTTTTTGTGCATTACTGTAACACAAGAACATTTTATTCTTCTCTGGAGTAAAGCACCGCAGACATTGCAGGTTGCTTTGCAAGCCAAAGGGGATGGAATGATGGGCAGTTTTAGGAAATGCCATCCCCTCCGCTCCCTTGCTTTGCAAGTCAGCCCAAGGGAGCCTGCATTTGCACAACACATACAATTGTGAACAAACTCTCCTTATAAAAAAATTGTGTTATCTGTGCAGCTTGTAGAGTAGATAGATTTGGTATCTAAAAGAACCAGAATGAAATTTTTTAAAAATTCAGGAATTTTTCTGGGTAATCAAACCCTGTCTGTTTAACTTTGAATTTTTCATTTGGGATTTTTATTACATTTATTGCATATACTTCTGATGAAACCTATTAATTAAAAGAAAATTTAATTTTTACTGAAATACTAAAGTCTGAATTCAGCCTTCTGTTTTCAGTGAAAATGAAGTGGCAAGGTCTGGCACAGTGGTATGGACCTAGAGTTCTGCAGGCTTGTGCCTAGTAAGAACATTTTTCTTGATTGTCTCAGTTGTGAGTTATCCATCATCAGTGTTACAATCTCTGGTTATTTTTTGAGCATTTTTCTTGGAGGTCTATAGATAACATCTGTTATTCCTCCTCACATGTCTGCCAAGTAGATTTTGTTAACTTTATTTTTATAGAGGAGCAATCTGAGGCTCAGACAAGTAACATTATTTGTTACATAGCTCTTAAGTGGTAGAGCTGGGATTTAAACCCATGACAGGCTGGTTGGCCACAAAGCCTTTGTTCCCAAAAGTATATGCCTATGCATATGAATGTTTCATCTTCTTTGTAGCTCCATACTGCAACGATTTGATGAAAAATTTGGAGTCCAGTCCTCTTTCCCGCATCATATGGAAAGCTCTCAAGCCTCTGCTTGTTGGGAAGATACTGTATACACCTGACACTCCTGCCACAAGACAGGTGATGGCTGAGGTAAGCTACCCTGGCCCAAGAGTTCCTCTTTAGAATCTACTGGGATTATGGGCAAAAAAGTAAAGGTGGCTTTAGATGGTGTGTATTAAGTATACTCATGGCTCTTCTTGGATTTCCAAAGAGTAAGAACCTAGTCTGACCCAGGCCAGAGCTGACCTCTGGGTTGTAGCTACAGATAGGTACTCTCTGGAAATGGGAAGGACTGGAAAAGAGCTGCTATGATGGAGCATCTTCTCAGGGTGCATCTGAATTTCTCATGTCTCTGCATCTCCTCCTTTTTTCTGTTGCATCTGACTTCCCACCTGACTACAGGTGAATAAGACCTTCCAGGAACTGGCTGTGTTTCATGATCTGGAAGGGATGTGGGAAGAGCTCAGCCCCAAGATCTGGACCTTCATGGAGAGCAGCTCAGAAATGGACCTTGTTCGGGTGAGTGTCCCACTGTTCACTGTGTGCCTGTTTGATGCTAGAAAGGTGAGTTCTAGTCACTTTCCCAGTGACTGAGATGAGAATTATTTATTACATTTAACTGGTATAGACATACTGGACATAGGTTGAAGCCCAGGGCTGTCACCTTTGCAGAATTACAGGAGATGGGGCACAGATAACACTTTTCACACACATCAGCATCAATGTGTCTGTCTGACGGTCAAAAATCATTTTTCTAAGAAACTTAGTGAGGGCTGGTATTTGGAGCAAGAGTTTGGTGATTGTAGCACCTTTAGCCAACCACAGCATCTTACTTGACCTTCTTATATCTTGGTAGGTCTTGGACAGAGGTTGGGAGGAAAGGCGATCTGACCTGTAGACCAGTCTGAGATATTTCCTCCCAAGGCACTGTGTCAGTGAGGAAACACTGTTACCATATGGAGGGGAATTGCATTTGGTGCTTAAAACCATTTGAAAGGGATAAGTAGAGGCAGGATTCAAAAGTGGAGGAGGCTATATGAGAACAGAAGGTCTCCTTTGCTTGAGACTGAGTGCCATTCAATCACATCATCCCTGCCTTGGGCTGAGTCAGAGAATCATTAGACTATTTCTTGTCTCCATGATGAAGGAGGCCTCTTTTGTTTCTGCTGTCATTAAGAAGCAGGAATGGATTTTGCCATCTTTCTTCTTTTGACACCTCATTGATCAAAGGGGCAGCTGGGTTTTAGAGATGGTACCTACCTGGAAGGTACTCTCCTGGGCTTAAGACTGTCCCCTGATGCCCTAGGGTGGACATTATTCTGGGGGCCTTCCAATAACAGGAAAGTTGGAATCATCTTTAACACTAGTCCTATTATATATGCAGATTCTTAAACTGGGGACTTTAATAACCAAGGGACTTCAGTGAGAAAAACATGAACAATATTTTATATGGATATACCAAATAATTACTGACTAACAACTCTTACCCTTCAAGTATGGGTCTTTATTGGGCTCCAGTCTCTCCTCTGCAAGGGGTTCCTAGCCATGGGCAGATCCACAGACTGAGATGTGGTCTCAGGCCTCTTCTTCCTGGTCTTCTCCTTGGAATCCACATTCCTACTTGTTAGATTTCTTTCCTTCTGAGTCATAGACGATGATGAGGGGCCCTGTTAAAGAGACTTCATGAGTTTTGGTCTGTAAACATACAGATGCTTACCCCACTCTTAAATGGGGACTTTGGCTTGGAAGCATCAGAAGCTCATAGGCTCCCTGTTCTTTGGCCCTTCTAACCATGGCCGTGGCATTCATTAGGAATCCTGCTGGGGGAACCCAGGATGTAAGACAGGAAATGTAGGAGCTGTGAGTGGGGAGAAACGCATGGCAATGTGGTCTGGAGGGCCTTGTGTGTCAAGCCAAAGACATTTAAGCCCTGGGGGACCACTAAAAGGTTTTAAGAAAGGGTATCTGTAGGTACTTTTCTCTGATATGACAGGTAGACTAAAGAGGGGAAAGGTGAAAGGCAGAGAACCAGGTGGAGGCTATCCAAGTGGGTGGCCAAGAGATCAGTAGGAGGTAAAGCCTGGTGACTATTTGATTGAGGAAGGGTGAAAGAGTGGGAGACGTTAGGGTGATTCCTGACCTCTGATCGGTAGGAGGTGGGGATGTTATACAGGAGCGGGGAGATGGGGCCTGTAGTGCAGGGTTGGTCAGGCTAGAGACACCAGCAGGGGGCTCATCGGGTGGCAGAAGCCGAAGGAGCCTCCTCCAGCTGCTTTCTTTCCTCTGTTAAAGAGTGTTTGACTCCACAGGCTTGGGCTCCTAGTCCTCTGCATCCCCTTCAGCCTCACCTTTGGTGTGTGACACAATGCCTGAGGCTTCTGCTTCTGTTGGGGTGGCTCTTATCTGTTCTTTCTTTATGCTTTCCAGCTTTCCTGAGGTGTAATTGGCAAAATTATGTACATTCAAAGTGTACAATTTGCTGTTTTGATATATATATATATATACACACACATTGTGAAGTGATCAACACAATGAAGCTAATTAACATATCCATCACTTTATATAGTTGCCTCTTAGCCAATTTGAAGTATAAGTCCAGTATTATTAATTGTAGTCACCGTGCTGTATACTAGATGGCCAGAACTTATTTATATTGCATAACTTAAACTTTTTGCCCTTTGACCCCCCCCTATTTCCCCCATTCCACCCAAATAGCCCTGGGCTACCACCTTTCCATTCTGATGGCTTTTATCTTTCTGCTCTCTCTGTTTACACCCACTGCATCACTCCACAGACTGGGGGCGCTTCTCTGTTCAGTCACAGGAGCCACTGACACTAATCCGTCCTCCTTTCTGAGCTGCTTTTTGCCACCTCCATCTCAAGGCCCTGCTTTTCCCCCTGCTACCACGCCTAAGGGTGATCTTACATCTCCTGGGCCCCAGAATGGCTATGTGACCAGTGATCTCCCTAGGCACATCTCTTTGGTCTGGCTGCCTGCCTTGGCCATATTACTTGGAAGCCACACTGAGCATGGCAGGTGTCACCCCAGATGCCACATGTTTTCGCTCAGCTCTTATTTGTGCGGTTCAAGTCTCTACTTGAAGTCATTTCTGAATTGCTAACCCAAACTCCTATGAACTTTTGTGAAGTACAATTTTGTATCTGTTATGTTGACAAAAATAGTTACATATCTTACTGATGACGATATAAATTGTTATTCCCTAAGGAAAGCAATTTGGAATGAAAATTGCAAGAACCATAAAAAATGTGCTATCCTGTGTACCTCCATTCCATATACTCTCAGGGATATATCCTAGAAAAGATTTTAAGGAAATCACAGTTGGAGAGAAAACATTATTGCTATAATAACTGTTATTGTGAGAAATTAGAAATAGACTAACTGCTGAGCAATATGGGAATAGTTAATGAAGTTATAGTATATATACTTTATAAAACCATTAGGTTCCCATTAAAATAATAAACATGAAGCCACATGGAGGAAAAAACTTGATAGTGAAAATAAGACTGACTTAAAAAGTAGCTGTTTTTGGCCCCTTAGAGATTCCACTTCAGTAGAACCAACGTTTCATCTTCTGTCTTGAAGGTGTGACAGGAGTTAGAGCTTCTTCTTCTCCATGAATTGAATTGGAAGCTGATCCATTTTTCTGGCAGCACATCTGTGCAGGCCTCTGCCCAGCCCTCTGGACCTCCTGATTGGGTACCAGATTGGTTTGTCCTGCTCTTCTGTGTTGACCCACGTGGGGAATCAATATCTAAGGAACAAGAAATAGAAGACAGGCCTCCTCTGCATCATGATCCAGGCATTTTACTATTAGGAAAGGTCACATTTTACTTGGTTTAACAGTGGCATTATTTTCCCAAACTACATAGCAAAAGTAGGCTTGTGTTACTAATTCAGTCTAGAGATAGTGTATGTGAGGTATCATCAGCCTGGGGCTCAAAAGAGGAAGATGATATAATGCAGTAGGAAGATGCAGTAGAATCATAGAGTGCATGTTTCATATCCTGGCTTTTCTACTCCTTAGCTGTGTAGCCTTATGTTAGGAACTTGAGCCCTCTGAACCTGTTTTCCTATCTGTAAAATGGGAACTATTAAAGATGCCTTCTCATGTAGTTGTGTCAGGTAAAGCATTTAAATAATTCAGTATAGTAATTGCACAGAGTAAGTATGATTATTGTTACAGTAGTTAATACTGTTAAGCTAGGCTGGAAACACAGACTGTCAAAGTATTATATGGAACCCTATTATCTACCTCACTGTTTTCTGTGAAGATAAAGATGTAATGTATGTGAAAGAGTTTTGTCAATCATATAGTGCTTATCAAGATTCAGTTGGTATTTACTACCTGTCTTTTCTTATTGGGATGGCAGATACTGTTGGACAGCCGCAGCAATGACCACTTTTGGGAACAGCAATTGGATGGCTTAGGTTGGACAGCCAAAGATATTGTGGCATTTCTGGCCAAGCATCCAGAGGATGTCTGGTCTACAAATGGCTCTGTGTATACCTGGAGAGAAGCCTTCAATGAGACCAGCCAGGCAATCCAGACCATATCTCGCTTCATGGAGGTGAGAATCTGTTCTGTGGATCATTTAGAAAAGACTTTGGCTTCTTTTCTCTGAGATGATGCAGTAAGATTTGGATTGGAGGAGAGTTCAAAGTAACATATAGTATCCCTCAAACCTAACACATGGCTTGGTGTACAAAGGCACTCAATAAATGTTAGTTGAATCAGCAAATGAACAGACCTAATGCCAGTTTTATTCTTTCTGACTTAAGAGTGTTTCTACCCATTGTCTTTCAGGTTTTCCTCTGTTTTATCCCAATAACTAATGGCACCAAAGCATTTGCTTAAAAAGGCATTACTTAAGAAACTTACCTAAAATCTAATAGGACAGATAACACTTAAAAAATTTAGTCCTAAAAATTACATGATTTAATAGGGACAAATGAAAGGTGTTTGGGGTCTGTTAGTTAGGTTAGTTGCTAAGAAAGCAGAGAGAAAAATGAGGTATGATCATTGTTTTAATCTCTTCCTTGCCACAAAAATCAATATGAGTAACTTATCTCTAAATAATTCTAGTAGTTCTCTTAAACTGCAGTTAAAAAAATGATCCATTCTTGGTCGAGGATTGGAAAATCACTCTAGAGAGGAGTAGAGATTGAGGATAAAACAATCATGCAGTTAACACTTCTGTCTTAGGATAGAGTTTGCTTTGGCCACTACTTGTTCTCCTGGCCCCCTGAATTCTCACCAGGCTCTTCTTCCATCAGTGTGTCAACCTGAACAAGCTTGAACCGGTAGCAACAGAAGTTCGGCTCATCAACAAGTCCATGGAGCTGCTGGATGAGAGAAAGTTCTGGGCTGGTATAGTGTTCACTGGAATTACTCCTGGCAGTGTTGAGCTGCCCTCTCATGTCAAGTACAAGATCCGAATGGACATTGACAATGTGGAGAGGACAAATAAAATCAAGGATGGGTAAGTTGAATCCAGTCACACCAGTGATCCTGGGGAAGTCAAGAGCAGCTGATATGACTAGAAGTACTTTGTTTTAACTAAAATTTGGTAGAAACTTCACCAAAAAATAACTCAAATTGGTGGCATAATTTTCATGAAACCCACACATTCATTACTAGAGATAATTATTTCAAAGGTCATAAAAAAACAATCTTTTGATTTAGCATTTCCACTCAAGGGAATTAGTCCCAAGGAATTATATCACTGGAAAAGAAAAAAAAGAAAAGTGACTTTAGGTTCCCTATGTTGGTATTATTCATTTTTACAGAAAGGAGCTAACAGCCAATATAAACAAGAATGATTAAGGACATTTGGTATGTCCACTTGATGTAATGTTAGAGAGCCAGTGGAGGAGAAAAAGCACATCAACAAGTGATATGCTTATTCTTACTGTGTCTATTTAAAAATATGTGTACATGTCAACTAGCCAGAAAGTAAGGCAATTACAAAAATAATTTCAGCGGCTCTGTCATGGTGGGACTATGGGTGATTGGATTTTCTTTGTAATTGTATGGTTCTAAGGAATGTTTGATCACTTGTGGTTTGGTTTTAGGTACTGGGACCCAGGTCCTCGGGCTGACCCCTTTGAGGATTTGCGTTATGTCTGGGGGGGCTTCACCTACTTGCAGGATGTAGTGGAGCAGGCCATCATCAGGGTGCTGACGGGCATCGAGAAGAAAACTGGTGTCTATGTGCAACAGATGCCCTACCCCTGTTATGTCGATGACATGTAAGTAACCAGTAAATCACCATCTTTATCTGTTTAAAATGGTCCCCAGATGGAGTGTATATACAGACAGACACATGCAAACATACGTGTGCCAGGGGAGGGGACAAAAATGCCTTATTTATTTTACCTGTGTATCAATACTGTCAAAAAGTTGTTTTTGAAATTCTGTAAAGATTTCAGGAAGATGCCAGATGTAGTGAGTTGACTGTTTCAGCCCCATCACAGACACACAGGTATGCATACCAGTAATTCTCCCTCCTTTTTTATCCATGTTCCAGCACCTACATTTTTTATACTCTACCCTTTTGGTTACAGTTTCTTCAATCTTAAAGTTTAAAAATGTGTAATGATGAACACATGCAAACACATACACATATGCACACATCCCTGAAACACAGAAATAGCAGTCTAGACCTATAAAAACTGAGTTCACATAAATTTGTCCACTTCCTGTCTATAAGTGATAAACCACATTTTGAACAATCCACATGAATTTGAACAATGTGTTTTTATCTTAGACTTTTTATATAATCTTTTGGTGGTTAGGCACTAATTAGCTGCCAAGTTCTCACTGTAGAAACTGTGCCTTTGAATCTAATAATTTCTTGTAAGAGAGAATGGGCAGAGGTGTTGTTATCGTAGGCATCTGAAATATGGAATGTCTTTTTTCCACATTCTGAAAGTTCTCTTACTCTCCATTGTGATTGTATGTGTGTATGAGTGTGTGTGTGTGTGTGGGGGGGGATCAGTGCAGAAGGAGCAGAGCTCCTCCTTGTATTTGCTCTCTGCTTTGCACTGAACAGCTATTTCCTTGCATGGCTCTCTCTAACTTTTCCAGGTCACCTGCATTTATCTTGTTTTTCACCTTTCACAAGGATTAGGCAGAATTTTCTAAAGGAAGACTCTTCCAAGGACCCTGTCAGCCAAGATTTATTTTAGAAATGATGTCTTAAGATAGGAACATGATGGGAGTGGGGGGCATTGAGGGCCTTTGCCTGTTGTCACATATTCAGTAAGTGCAAAAGTACTAAAACTAGTACTCAAACCTTGAGTTCCAGAGTCCAAATTTTGTGTCCATTTTACTTCACAGCACATTTCCTACTCTAGTGTGGAATCTGAAATATTACTGGCAAGAGCTGCCTGAAGTGTGTTTCTGCACTATCTGTGATAAGAGTTACACAAGGCGAGTCAAATGACCTTGGCAATGTTGAACTTCCATGAGAGGAGTTGTGTTTTTTTGTTTTGTTTTAGTATTTTAAAATAGCCCAAACTTAGCTTAATGATACTTCAGGTACCTAGTTACTAAAGCAGGCCCCAAAGAAATTTTACTTAACAACACTTTGTTAGTCTAATTTCTGTCACTAACTTGCATTGTTCTAGAAGCATCTGACAACCTGTATATTTCAGAGTCCAGAGGGCCTGCCCATCTTTGACTCAGTTGCGGTGCTTTCTCTTGCATGCAGGCTTGGGGATTTTGGCCCATGAGCCTGGCTTACACTCATCTTTAATTTTCCTTCCATTGCTTGCCCTTCCTTGGGCCTCCAGCTTCCTGCGGGTGATGAGCCGATCAATGCCTCTTTTCATGACGTTGGCCTGGATTTACTCTGTGGCTGTGATCATCAAGGGCATCGTGTATGAGAAGGAGGCAAGGCTGAAGGAGACCATGCGCATCATGGGCCTGGACAATGGCATCCTCTGGTTTAGCTGGTTCATCAGTAGCCTCATCCCCCTGCTGATGAGCGCCGGCCTGCTTGTGGTCATCCTGAAAGTAAGACTGCCTCACTGGCCCTTCCCTGGCAGGGAGCTCCTAAATAGCCCAGCATGAGCTATGTAAGGAGAAGAAAAGCAAAGATTCTTGAGGAGGAAAGGGCTCATACCTGTCATTGCCTGTAATTCCCTCATTTATAGTTGGGGAAGTGAGGCCCAGAGAGGAGTAGTGACTAGCTCAGGGTCAACCCAGCTATCTAGCAGCAGCTAAGCAGGACAAGAACCTAGGCTCTTGCTTCCCTGTTAAGCCCACACCTAAGTACACTTTGCTGTCTGGTCAGCAGCGGTTCGTGGTAGCTTCTGAGTGCTGTTCATGTGCTTAAGTGTATTGGGTGGTGATTCTGCTTAAATTTCTAAAAACCATAATCAGAGGGATACATATTGTTGCAGGTTAGGTTTTTCTGGAAGCAGAGGCTGAGACAGAGTCATTAGGGATCAACATCTGTGAAAGAGAAGGGGAGGATACAGGATTGAGCAGAGGAGGATCTCTGATGCAGGGCCAACCCCATGGGTACTCTGGAGCATATACAGCTTGTTGAATTGAGCTGACAATGAACTAAATATCTGGCCCTTTAGGTTCCCCAAAGCCTTCTTCCCTGAAGAACAATATGCCAGCCCCCTCAGTCAGTCAGTGGAGGTGTGTGCCCCAGGGTCAGGTGGCTCTCTGAAGCTGTGACAAACCCAGAGGAGTTGACACCTTGAGCTGTCTGCTGACGTCCAGGCAACAAGTCCCCCTTGAAAGGAACTCTGGGTATTGGGGTTCTGTGTGTACCCCATACATGAGTAGGTTTATATGTTAATTTTCTTTCTCCCCAGTCATTTCATTTAAGCATACAACATGGAAAAATAACTGTTGTTAAACGGGGTGGGGAGTGTAAAGGGATAGGAACCGACACTTAATACTTGCTCCTATTCATTACAAATGAGTACTTGCTGATTGCCAAACACTATTTAATGTGTCTCTTCCTTCCCAGTTAGGAAACCTGCTGCCCTACAGTGACCCCAGCGTGGTGTTTGTCTTTCTGTCGGTGTTCGCTGTGGTGACCATCCTACAGTGCTTTCTGATCAGCACCCTCTTCTCCAGAGCCAACCTGGCGGCAGCCTGTGGGGGCATCATCTACTTCACACTGTACCTGCCCTATGTCCTGTGCGTGGCTTGGCAAGATCATGTGGGCTTCACACTGAAGGTCTTTGCTGTGAGTAACTCTGGCCCTCCTGCAGTAGCTGCAGTCACGGCCACCCCTGGGGCTTCACCTCTCCTTTGTAGTCCAAGCTGAGAAAAGAAAGAGAGAGAATCTCATTCTGGTGGGACTTCAACCTCAGTTCTAGCTTCTTAGTTCCTTGAAGGCAGGGATTGTTGTGTTGTATGTTGTTATTTTTAGTCCTCTCAGTGAATGCTGGTTGAATTGAATTGAATGCAATTTTTCAGAGTCAGACTTCAGCATAAACTGGGTTGGGGAAGAGTGGCATTGGGAAATGCCTTTGGACAATAGATTTCATCCCCACCTTGTATTACCCAGCTCTGCTGGCCGTGTTAAGCTTGCCTCAAAGTCACAGTCACAGATAGAACTGAACACTCCTGAGCACAGATGGTTTCTTCTTGACTCTTATCTTCCTTGTGTCCAGAATGGGGTTGTGCTTGAGTAATGTTTTCTGAATTGGAAAAGACTGAGAAGCAGGTGTCCCATCCCTCCACAAATCTCTGACTTCAACACCCTCTTCTTTATACAGAGGAGAGGACTTTGAGGGTGTATAAGCTTCTATACAAGGGAATAGCCTGCTTTCCTCTGATTCACCCACAGGATGCTCCAGGTGCCTCAGTCTGCACCCCTTAGACATCAGCAGTCCCAGACAAACTCCTCTGACCCTGAGGCGTTGCTGGCTGAGCAGGGAGCTGGGGGGGGGCCTTGAGTATGTGTGTAGGTGTAGGTACAAGATTGCTGAGCCCTTGGGGACATCTTAGGAAGCATAAAATTCTAAAAGTTTAATACTCCATATATACATTTATGAAATGTGTGCAAATAATGAGTGGTTATAAATAGAATAATTTCATATACTGCCAGGGAGCCCACTTCCTTCAAGGGACTCTGTAGGTGAATACTTCCATATCTTGTAACTGATCCATTTTACAAATTAAAATTTCTCCAGGTGGAATTTACATTCGAGATGATAGAAAAATGAGAAAGACAAGGATATAGAACAGTGACTTTGCCTCTTTCTCACAGAGCCTGCTGTCTCCTGTGGCTTTTGGGTTTGGCTGTGAATACTTTGCCCTTTTTGAGGAGCAGGGCATTGGGGTACAGTGGGACAACCTCTTTGAAAGCCCTGTGGAGGAAGATGGCTTCAACCTCACCACCTCCGTCTCTATGATGCTGTTTGATGCCTTCATCTATGGGGTGATGACGTGGTACATCGAGGCTGTGTTTCCAGGTACACTGAGCTTCTGCAGGGCTTTAGCCATCTGCTAAGGAAATGTGATTTACAGCTGCAGAGCTTTCCTCCTTTTGTGCTGGAATTTCTTCAGGGCCTGGGATTCCTTGGAGAGCAGCTTGGGCCTTTAGACCTATGGCAAACAAACAGTCCAAGGAGAAGCAGCTAATGCTTAAAGTACAACTCTTACTGCTAATGTAGCTCTCATTGCTTGTACACTGTGTGCCAGGCACTATGTAGTGTTTTGTACACTTTGGCTCATTTAATCCTTATAAAACTACTCTGCGGGAGTTACTGTTATGACCAGTTTCTGCAAATGAGAGAACTATGACTAAGAGAAGTTAAATAACTTGCTTGTGGGACACATGGCGGTAGTGGTGCTTGGAGGTAAACCAGCTGGGTCACACTGGGTCAACTAGTCCAGGAGACTCCTGCCAATGCTGACCCAATTCTCTAGCTTTGTATCCCCAGAATTACCTCTAGTGGAGGTCCTGTTTTCTATGTACAGCTTGTGAATAATACAATATATTGGCTCTAAGCACTTGCCTGTGATTTAATTGAATTAGTATTCATAAAAATTTATTTTGATACTTGTCTTAATAAATCTCCTTACCAAGACATGTGTTGGATACATTTTCATACAAATTGAATTCTGAGAGAGTTAAGGTTTAATTTTCTCCCGATTTTCCTCTAAGCGAGTGTGTGAAATATTTATTACCCCTACCTGAATTTCCTGCATTGAATGTGCAATCTTGTATTATACAGATTCGGATTCAAATTCTGAGTTCTTCACTTAATGGCAGGGTGACCTGTAGTAGGTTTCAGGGAATGTTAGCTTCATCTTCGCCCACCGCCATCTGGTCTGTCCTGTCTTCAAAGTCTGTGTCAGGAATGGTTCTGGCTGGGATACCTCGGGAATGCTGGGATGTTGGCAAGCATGGCTCATATCTGTGCTTTGCTTTCAGGCCAGTATGGAATTCCCAGACCCTGGTGTTTCCCTTGCACCAGGTCCTATTGGTTTGGGGAGGAAAGTGATGAGAAGAGTCACCCTGGTTCCAGCCAGAAGGGAATATCAGAAAGTAAGTGCTGCTGACTTGCCCTCCCTTGGCTGGAGTGCAGCTGCCCTCACTGACAAGGGGGCACAGATGGCTTTGCCCTTTAATAGAGCCTATCTACCCTAGGGGCAGAGAAATCACATGCGATGCCCCTTTCCAAATTCTCCCATGCCGTTTGTGTCCTCTGCTATTGATTCATTGAGAGGTCTATGTTTGGGCCCCTTAGGGGTATTTCCTTTGTTTTCTTGTTTTTTAGGAAAGTGGTTGTTAATCTCTGTACCTTCACCTCCCACTCCCCTCCACACATATACTTTTCATGATATCCTAACAGTTGGAAGGAAGAGGTAAAGACTATTGTGATTGAGGAGCCATAACCTCACTGCCTGCCCTGTCATAGTGATAGATGACTGAGCCTGTGTTGGCTGACACCAAGTGGCTGCCCCAGAGCTCAGGCTTTGCTTCTTAAATGTTCTCACCCTTCATTACCCAGAACTCTGATCCTCTCCTGGCTCCCAAGTATAGGTAAAGATGCCCACAGTTCAGCAAAGGTTCTGCTTTCTGGGCTGTGTGCTCAGGTTCTTGGAGGGAAATAATATCTTTATGTTCAGTGTGGCTTCCTAGGTAGTTAATGTAAGTCCCTCTTCTGCTGATCTCTTCTGTGTCTTCCCCTGGTTGCCAGTATTATGCTCCTTAGCTTGCACTCTACTCTTATTGCAACTGGTCCTTGCCTGCTATTCCAGCTGCTTCTCCTGCTGTTCCTTCTCTCCTTGTTCAACTTCCCCTCTCCACCTAACCTCTAGAGTTGCCTAGTATCAGTCACCTAGAACTGTTCACAGTGGCTGTTTTCCAGCATCTTTGTGTCTTAACTGTGTACTCTGGCAGGAGAACCCTCTCTGCCAGCTTGCCTGCCTTCAAAATTCCTACTCAGTTTTCAAGATCTAGTTCAGTATCCCTTCCCCTGAGTAGAGCTTCTAGAGTTCCAGGTAGTCAGTCACTTCTTCCTCTGAGGCATTAAAAACAAACAAAAAACCCTTTTTATTTAAAATAATTACAGATTCACAGGAAGTTGCAGAAAGTTTTATCAGGGGTTCCCTTGTCCCTTTCACCCAGTTTTCCCCTGTGGTAATACCTTACATATTATAGTACAATATCAAAACCATAAAATTGACATTGGTACAATTCACAGACCTTCCTCAGATTTCCCAAGTTCTACATGTACTCATTCATGTCTGTGTATTTAGTTCTGTGCAGTTTTATCGCACATTCACATTTGTACATGCACATTTGTATAATCAAGATGAAGAACTGTTCATCAATACAGACTCCCTTATTCTAGCACTTAGAAGGCACAGCCACGTCCCTTTTCCTTCCCAATCCCTGCCATCTGTCAACCACTAATCTATTCTCCACTTCCACATTTTATTATTTCCAGAATGCCATATAAGTGGAACCATACGATATGTAACCTTTTGAGACTGGCTTTTTTCACTCAACATAATTCCCTTGAGATCTATCCAAGGATCTCAGGTGTGTATATTAGTAGTTCATTCCTTTTTGTTGTTGAGTAGTTCATGGGATGGCTGTACCACAGTCCTGTACCATTTTAGATGTGTTTTTTTAAACACCTTTTAGTGCCCTGTGTTTTAATTGCTTGGTAAGTCTTTTTCCTCAGAAAAACTGTGAATGCCCCTTCATCACAGAATTCTCATCACCAACGCTAAACAGGCCTTAAATAAACGTTTGTAGCCTGCCTGCCTGAGAAACCAGAAGTAGCCATGGACAGAGGATAGTTCTCAAATACAAGCATAGCCCCCTGGTCTGTACCTCCCACTTGCTCTGTGGGTTCACTTTTGTTTCTGTCTTATCCTGTCACACAGTCTGCATGGAGGAGGAGCCCACACACCTGAAGCTGGGTGTGTCTATTCAGAACCTGATGAAGGTTTACCGAGATGGCATGAAGGTGGCAGTCGATGGCCTGGCTCTGAACTTCTATGAAGGCCAGATCACCTCCTTCCTGGGCCACAATGGAGCTGGGAAGACCACCACCATGTAAGAAGAGGGTATAGCTCTCTCATAATCAACCGCAAGGGTCTGTAGTGCAGTTAGAAACCATGCCTACAGATGGTGTGCTGGTTGCTGAGGCACATGAGGAGCTGAAGAGTGTAAAATGTTATCACAGGAGTACTTTACAAGCACTGGTTTTGCTACATATTATTTCTAAAACAGGCTGGGGGTCTTTTGATGACCTTTTCCATTTATTTCTCAGAAGTCTGCAGTGTTCTTAGAAACTGAGCTCATGACAGCTCTGAGAAAGGTCTCCTTTTGAGCTGATTTGGTCAAAACTGTGAAGCAAGAATGTTTAAAGAAATATATTTTGAAGAGAGATAGTAATTTCCAGTAACTCTGTCTCTTAACAGATGTGAGAAATGGCTGAATAAGCTGGCTATATGATTGCCCTCTCTGGGACCTTTAAGATCCTTATAATGGGGAGGTTCAGAAGGGAGCACAGGCCATGAAAACACCAGAGTTAGCCTCAGTAGTTTTCAGTGCGGTCCCTCAATCGTTGCAGTCTTGGGGGTGATGACCATTTCCTGTTTTTCTTTTATCCCTTTTTGTTGTTAATGCAAATTCAATGTATTATGAAAATTGTAGAAAAATTTTTAAAGGTGTACAGAAATTTTACTGCCTAACACAAAAATCATTTTTATCTTTGAATAATTTATTCTGATTTGTCCATTTTATATGGACATGATTTTAGGCATAGAAAAATATGTTTTCAAGTGTTATGTTCCACTGCAAATTGTAAACTTCATTTAAAAAATACTTGTACTGAAATTGCCATTTCCTACACCTAGGCCCACTCCTCCTTATTCACTAAAGCAAAAATGTCTTTAATTTGTAAGGGTATGTTGGGGTCCATGAGGAAGGAATAGGGGTGCGAGGGCTGGTGCCTCTGCTCTATCTGCCCTGGCTCTGTAGCCTGGGCTGGGGCATGTCCAGGGCAGGGTGCTTAACACTGACTCCTGTACTTTAAAATTTTTGTCCTCAGGTCAATTCTGACTGGCTTGTTTCCTCCCACCTCGGGCACTGCCTACATTCTGGGGAAAGACATTCGCTCTGAGATGAGCACCATCCGGCAGAACCTGGGAGTCTGTCCCCAGCATAATGTGCTGTTTGACATGTGAGTACCAGCTGCACTTGAACTGCAGACCCTCTCTGGATATGTCTGTTGTGAGGTGGGGTGGAGGGGTCTTAAAGCATCTTACCTTCTCTGGGGACAGCAGACCTCGCCTCCCTAGATGTACCTCTGGTTATCCTTTAATTTTAGGAAAAGTCAGAATTGTATTGTTGGGTGGAAGATGTTAGTAGATGGGGCTGGGGAAATGATGCTCCCTATTATTGTCATTCTCAAGGGCCAATCAGCTCATCCTCAATCCTGTCACACCCCTCCCTAATGCCAGCTGCAGCTCTAACCTTCAGACCTGGCAGCACCTCAGGGCCTCTATTACAATGGCCCAGCATTTCCTGTTCAAGACATTTGCTTTCATTCAAGTTTCTCCTCAGCAAGTAGAGCCCCCAGGGAGACCTTGTGGTGGAGCAGAGAAAGACCTGAGCTCTATGACCTTGGGCAAAGACTTCTCCCCTTCTGGGCCCCAATTTCTTCTTACCTAAAGTGAGCAGCTCAGGCTCATATTCTCCCTTTTCATATGATTTGAGGTCCTCTGAGGTTCAGGAGGGCTGCATCAGATAAGTGCTGACCCAGCTTCTTGGCTGATGGGTTTACAGGGAGGATTCTGAGATTTAAAAGTTGCAACCACCTGATGCATGGTGGCCAGGTCTGCTGGGAATAGGTGGAAGTGACCTGTCACATTTCAGCTTTGGCTTCTTGAGCAGCTCATGTGGACATTCTGTCTTGATCCTTCATGAGTATTATTTTTCCAAAGTTGATAAAGTTAAAAAAAAAAGGTGTGTGGAATGTGCCCATTCTCTTCTGTTCTGGGTCAGGAGGCACTGTATTCTGGAATCTTGTGAGCCACAGATCTGACCTTTCCCTCTGTTCCCAGGCTGACTGTTGAAGAACACATCTGGTTCTATGCCCGCCTAAAAGGGCTCTCAGAGAAGCATGTAAAAGCAGAGATGGAGCAGATGGCCCTGGATGTTGGTTTGCCACCCAGCAAACTGAAAAGCAAAACAAGTCAGCTGTCTGGTAAGGCTGGTGCTCCCCCTTCCCTTTCCCCTCTTCCTCCAGCCACACAAACACACACAAGGGAGAAGCAACCGCTGCCCCAGTGTCCCTGGCTGGGCGGTGAGTGGGTCAGAAACGTGTCCCTGGCTTGTCCTCAGGTGGGTGCCTGCCTCCATCGTCTCTCACTGCCTCTGCCTTTGCTGTCTGGGGCCAGTCCTGGAAACTTCTCCCTTTCTTACAGGTGGAATGAAGAGAAAGCTGTCTGTGGCCTTGGCCTTTGTTGGGGGATCCAAGGTTGTCATTCTGGATGAGCCTACAGCTGGCGTGGACCCTTACTCCCGCAGGGGAATATGGGAGCTGCTACTGAAATACCGACAAGGTAACTGATGTGTATTGATTTTGCATTATGGAGTTGGAGAAAAGGATGAAGAGGCTCTTGAGAAATATGGGTGTTCCTGCTAGAGCAACAGAATTGCTTCTGAAGGAGCACACACACTTCCTTTCTTAAAGCTCTGCTCATCCCTGATACGGAGGTGGGAGGCCAGGTTTATAAGACACTTAAAGTTTATGCTTCATTACCTAGGGTCCTGCAAGATAAAGAGAATTGGAGATAAAGAGCAGGGCCCCTAGTGCTACCTCTGACATAGAATTTTACACATGTATATTATAACTATATTCCCCTATAGACTGAGAGTCTTGAGAGCAAGGGCTGCATCTTTGTTCATCTCTAGCCCCAACATGGTACACTAAATTTATGTTTGTTGAAAGAGTGGATATGTAAATGAATGGAATGGGCGAGGTGCGGACGCATTGGCAATCTGCTTAGAGACACAGAGTGTGTATTAAGGAACCACCTTAGGGTGTGAGAAGAGTGGACTGTGGAGCCAGCTTGGGCTGGCCCTGAGACCTTGGAAAAGTGATTTAAGTTGCCTCAGTTTCTTTACCTATAATAATAGTGGTGCTTGCTTCAAAGAGGATTAAGTCAAATAGGAATACATACAGAATACATAGCATATTGTCTGATGTGCATGTGGTAAGTTCCCAAGTAAATATTCCTGTTCTTATTTCTGTGAGGGTACAGTAGCTGTATTCACAGTTTTGCTATCTTAGAGGCCATGGCCACATAGGCATCCAAGGCTTTCTCCCATACTTACCCCAACAAATATTTCTGTAGTTCCAGCCCCTGTGATCATTGAGAACTGACAGCTCTCACCTGCCCACATGTGTTTCCACTTGGCAGGCCGCACCATTATTCTCTCCACACACCACATGGATGAAGCGGACATCCTGGGGGACAGGATTGCCATCATTTCCCATGGGAGGCTGTGCTGTGTGGGCTCCTCCCTGTTTTTGAAGAACCAGCTGGGAACAGGCTACTACCTGACTCTGGTGAAGAAGGATGTAGAATCCTCCCTCAGTTCCTGCAGAAATAGCAGTAGCACTGTGTCGTATCTGAAAAAGGTGAGTTGCAGGCTTAGTGCCGGGCTGGTGCTGGGTCTGGGAATCAGGACTGGTTGGCCGTGAACGGCTGGTCCACCTATGCCTGACTCTGCCGCATTGGAGTCACCATCTCCATGGTTCGGGGTCCTTTTGGAATCACATCATACTTCAGACATGGAAACCTCTGTTGAAGCCCATTTCCTTCTTCCTGTGGAAGCACAGTGAATGATGGAAAAGGTCCTTAGAGAACTTTGTTATGTTAAAGAGATGAGACTTGCCAAGAGTTAAGAGCCTTGTCTGGAGAATGCTCTTCTGTTCCTGCTCATTACTTTTACATCTTATTGACCTTTTAACTGTAAAACAGCACATATTTATTGAGCACTGATTTCATGTTAGACAGTCACTCTAGCAGACTCTGGGCATAAAAGAAAATAATGATAATAGTTAATTCTTTGTAGTATTGTTATCATTTGCAAACTTTTTTTTTTTAACATCTGTCACCTCAAAATGCAGAGCAGCCCTGGAAAGGAGGCATTGTAATTATTATCCCAGATGAGGGAAGTGAGGCTTGTAGAGATTTGGTAGTTTATTCAAGGTCACCCAGCAGTTAAATAAAACACAGATGGGACCAGAACCCAATAAACAGGTGCATTTTTCTCTGTACCACAGCATATGCCTGAGATTTGTATGTTGAAACGAGTAGCACTTGAAACATTTATATCCCAACCTTGAGCCCCTGTTCACTTACTTACCTTTTAACTAATACCTGGTTACTCCAAGTGTGGTCTGAGGACCAGCAGCACTGGGATCACTTGGGAGCTTATTAGAAATGTAGAAACATGGGCTCAACTCAGACTTACTAAATCAGAATGTGCATTTTAACAAGTTCCTTGAGTGATTAAACTCAATTGGCTGAGAAGCATTGAACTAGACAAGTATAGCCAGGTAAAACCCATGCCTGAGAAGATCGGTGAATGCCTGGATACAGCATTCATTGGCAGGCCACAGTTCTGTTGACAGTTTGCTTCCTAACCTCCTGACCACATAACACATAGTGTCAGACAGTGGCCTCAGAAGCCGTGGCTGCCCAGTTGCATGCTTCCCAGGAGGAGCTTTTCTAGTTCTCATACACTAGAGCCTCATGGAAACCCTCCCTGGCAAAGGTGGTGGTGGTTGTACCTTATTTGGTCCCTGACCCATTCTCACCTCCTTCTTTGCCATCAGGAGGACAGTGTTTCTCAGAGCAGTTCTGATGCTGGCCTGGGCAGTGACCATGAAAGTGACACGCTGACCATCGGTAAGGACTCTGGGGTTTCTTATTCAGGTGGTGCCTGGGCTTCCCCGAGCTGGGCAGAGTGGAGGCAGAGGAGGAGAGGTGCAGAGGCTGGTGGCGCTGACTCAAGGTTTGCTGCTGGGCTGGGGCTGGGTGGCCATGGGAGGGGAGAGGGTGCAGCTCAGTGGCCGATTGGCTTAACTTGCTGGGGATCCTGGGGTTTGGTCTGGGAGCTGACAGGGCACTGTCCCAGAGAACTGAGATGATTGGGGTGGGGGACCCCCCCTTAGGGGAGTGGATCTGGCTGGACCTGAGACCAGGGTGAGGAACTGAGAGTTAAGCCAGTGGGGAAGGACTGGAGCTCAGTCCTAAGGGTCAAGAGATTGGGAGATCAGAAGAGCCTGGCCCTGGGTTTCCTCAGGAGGCCAGTGCTCCCAATAGCACAGGTAGAGCAGAAGCCTTACCCTGGCCATCTCTGCCTAGGCCTCAAACTGGGTTTTTCGAGGAAGACTTCTTCCATGAATTATATGATTAGCCCTCTTTTGAGGTAAATAGAAGGTGCCTCATTTAAAATGTGAGAGAAGGGTGAAGAATCTTTAAGGTTCCTTTACTCGTTTCCCATTAAAAAAATCCTAGAATTTAGGCAATAGACAACAGGCTTTCAACCACAGAAAGTCATCCATCCTTCCTTCCATCCACCTACCCACCCACCCACCATGCACTGAGAGCCTACAGGCTTTGTGTGTGACTGGCTGTGGTGAAACAAAGGTGAATAAGACATAGTCCTTATCCCTAGGAACTCTCAGGTCAGAGATAAACTTGTGGAATGACTTAAGTATCTGGGAAAAATGTCATATATGGGCCGCTGGCTTCTGAGGAGTAGACAAAGGGAGAAGGTAGGGGTTGGCTGGCCCTTACTGTGGGGCCTCTGATCTGGCTGAGTTATCTTTTTCCTTTGGTTCCTACAGATGTCTCTGCCATCTCTAACCTCATCAGGAAGCATGTGGCTGAGGCCCGGCTGGTAGAAGACATTGGACATGAGCTGACCTATGTGTTGCCCTATGAAGCTGCCAAAGAGGGAGCCTTTGTGGAGCTCTTCCATGAGATTGATGACCGGCTGTCTGACCTGGGTATCTCTAGTTATGGCATCTCTGAGACTACCCTGGAAGAAGTAAGTTAAGTTACTGACTGCCAGAATACATCAGGACCAACAATCCCAGCAATCCCAGGGCTAGACAGGCAGCCGCATTTCGCCTGAGGACAGCGTTACCATGGAGCTAGGCAATGTGCCCTTAAGTTTTTGACATCAGGAAAAGGTTGGCTTCAGTTAACCCTTTAAAGTTGTAGTGGCAGATAGCAAGAAGGATGTATTTGGATTGCTCCTTGGTGTGACTATGCAATGGCCATGAATAGGAAGTGGCCAGCATTTATGGAAAATTTACTTGTGCCAGGTGCTGCTGAGATTGGTGTTTTGTTTTTTTATTTAATTACTGTAGCTGCATTTAATCCTCATAAAATGAGAAAGTGGACACTCAGGGGTGCTAAGCTAGGATTCATAATCAGGGGTTTGGGGTTTTAAAGCCCATACTGTCTTTACTGTGTAGGAGCACTGCCTCCTTTTAGAGATGCAGCATCACAGACCTTGAGGACTGGAAGGGATATAAAAGTTGTCTGACCCGGTGGTCCCCAAGCTCAGTTGCAGCAGAATCATGTGGGGATATTACTGACAATAAAAATTCTAAGTCTCAGCTACAGAGTCTTTGAATTATAATTTCTGGGGATAAGGCTTTGATGTCTATGCTTTTATTACATGCTTCCTAGACAGTGGTCTGTAGTTGAGAATTTGAAAATCATTTGTCTAGATACTCTTCTGATGCTGAATTCCTGCCGTAACATTTCTAGTGAGGGCAATCCATCATCTCCTGATCACTCTGTCTTGGATAACCGTGCTAGCCTACTCAAAGATTTGGGGCCTGAGACCTAGAAGAAGCCACTTGACTTGTTCCCTGTTGATTCAGAACAAATTTCTTCTGCTGCAGTGTCCTTATGTTGTAGCTTAATTTGAAAATGATTGTCTGGATTGATAGCTCTTAACACTGAGGAAGTATTCTCTGGTTAAGAAGAGCTTTGCTTGCAAGTAACTCTGACAAAGTGTTATTAATAAATGAGGCTTTTATTTTTTGTCTTTAGGGGCTAAGAAGCCATTCAGTAATGTAATAATCATGGCAGTGATGGTTGCTGACATAACATGGTGTTTAAAATATCCTCATTTACTCTTTATTTTTCAGATATTTCTCAAAGTTGCTGAAGAGAGTGGAGTAGATGCTGAGACCTCAGGTAGCCTTTCAGGGGTGGTAGGGGTAGGGGCTACACACTCTCTGAGAAATGCCTTCTGCATGCTGTCTTAGCTCACCAATATTGTGCCTTTTCTTTTGAAATTTTTTTATTGCATTCTTATTTTTAGTGTATAAGTTTGTTAGAAATGTGGAGGGTTTGTTTTGTTACAAAATAAAATAAAATGCAGTATTCCTTTTCTTTGCCTTCAGATGGCACTTTGCCAGCCAGACGAAACAGACGGGCCTTTGGGGACAAGCAGAGCTGTCTTCGCCCATTCACTGAAGATGATGCCATTGATCCGAATGATTCCGACATAGACCCAGGTCTGTTTGGGCAAGGTCTGTGTTCCATTGTTAGAAAGTGAATTTCTCTCATGTTCTTCTCTGGAGTTCTCTTTTGATGTCTTTGAGTGAGGATGATAGATGCCTACAGGGTCCAAAGGGAGGTAGGGAGATGAGAAAAGCTGCTTTTCCTTTTTCAGTGCTGTGCCTGTGATCAAACCTGAAAGATCCTAGCCTCATCACTTCCTTCATTTCAGTGAGGTCTTTCTCTCATGAGACATATAGAGATGGTCCGTCCGTACTCTAAATCCATTTATTGTCTTTTCTGTAGAGTCTCAGTTCCTTGATGTATTATTTAATTGTTGAAAAATATTCTTTGAATTGATGAATGATTTTGAATGGGTCAGCTTTTAGACTTAATTGCACCCATACACTTAAATCCTGTGGATTTGACTGGGATGGAGAAGGGGAGGCGAGAAATCAAGCAAATACTGGGAGGATGTCAAACACCTTATTTAGGAATCATTAGTTTAAGACAAGGATTTCTATAAAATTTCTAGGAACAGAAACCTTTCTGGCTCCCCCAGTCCTTGCTCATGTGAATGTGTGGTGCTTATGCTGTGCCTGATTTCATATGTTGTCAGTACTTAATTCATTTGGATGTGTCCCCTTTACTCAAAATATAACAGTTGAAAGACAAATTGCCATCTTTGTTCTCAAGTATGGCAGCCTAAATACATGGCCCATTTTATAGAATATTCTATAAAAAATTGAGGATGACTTGGTTCATCTAAATGACTTGCTGTAACACACAGTGATGTGTGAACACATCTCTTCAGCTGTTTCAGGGAACCTTCCTTTCCTGCACTTAATCAGATAAGAACTGAAAGGCAGAAACTACTACTGTTGGATATTTGAAGTCCTAACTCTGCTTGGATGTGGATTTATCCTGAAAGTCCTGTGTACTTCTGAGTAACTTCCAAGCACAAACCTCCAAGATGGTTGCTGAAGATGCTGGAAAGAGGAACACAGTGATATAAAAAAATGCCTAACCTATAGGTGACCTTCAGTGTTGGCTTCTTACAGAATCCAGAGAAACAGACCTGCTCAGTGGGATGGATGGCAAAGGTTCCTACCAAGTGAAGGGCTGGAAGCTCACACAGCAACAGTTTGTGGCCCTTTTGTGGAAGAGGCTGCTGATTGCCAGGCGGAGTCGGAAGGGATTCTTTGCTCAGGTGAGAAGAGAAGAGCTGTTCCAGGCCAGCAACTGGCTTCATGAGTGGGCTACAGGCTCCATGACCAGTGAAGGCAGGATAGAGTCATGGTTATGGGATGGATGCTGGAGCCAGATGATCTGTATTTCAGACCTAGTTCTTCTTCTTGCCACATTACTTGAGGACAAGTTATTTCTCTGTGCTTTCCTCTCTTCATATTTAAAATGATAATGTACCTATGACATGGATTGTTCTGAGGATTAAAATGAGTAAGTGCTTAGAATGGGCCTTGTAGTTGTAATTACCTTTTTTTTCTTTTTGATATCAATTTTATTGTAGAGGAATTAGCCCTGGCTGGGCAAATTAATTTTTTTTTAAATTTAAAAACCTGAGAAGTGATTTGCCCAGATGCACGTGACATATGAACTAACTGGAAAGTTGATTTTTCTCTAACTTGATGTTAAGCTGCAAAGTGATAGAAAAGATAATTAGGACAGAAAAATATTGGTAAACAGAAGATTCAAGACACTGTTGTCTGCTTTGCATGCTAACTTACTTGGTTAGAAGGGATAAATTATTCCTCTCTGTAATCAAGAAATATAGAGAAAGAACCTGTAGAGACTTTCCCACAGACCGTGTGGGTAATGCAGAGAGCATGAATTTGTAGCATTCAAATCTGGATTTGAATTCCAGTTCTGCTACTTATTGGCTGTGTGACTTTGGGCTTAGCTTTTCTGAGTTCAGTTACCTTGTTTGTTGATTGATGATAATGATACTACTTAGGGTTGTGAAGATAATTAAATGGGGTCATTGTTATACAGTATTTTCCCATGTAGTAATCACTTGGTGATAACTTTCTGCATTAAAACCCTAGAACATAGGAACCAGGGGCATCATTTGTATCTTTAAGTTTTAAAGGATGTATGCCTCAGGAATAATTGGAAGGAGCTTAGAGTTTACTTAGATAGTAGGCACAAGTCATTGTTTTCAGAGAAGGTACAGCTGTAAAGTTTGAGGATATTCAAGAAGAGTTTAGATAATTATGTTTTTTGAGTCCATCCATCAAAGGAGACAATGGCTGCCAATCTCTTTCACTGGAAACATTGTTATGGGATAGTTTTATCAGAGAATGGGTCATCTAGTCTTAGTCTGCAGGTTAAATGAGAGCACTGAAGCCAGAGGGGAGGTGACTCCACATGTAGTAGAGACAGAACCAGCTTTGGGTCTTCTGGCTCCTGGCCTCTGGCTTCTGGCTTGTTCTCTTAGCCTTCCTCTGAGTTGAGATGAGCTGAGCTGGGCTCCTGGCCCTATGTGATCCTTGGTTTTCAGAGGGAAGAGAGTAGGACCCAGTGTTCTGAGCCACCCTGCCATGTTTACTCTGTGAAGTGCTCAGCTCACTTCCTTGCCAGGTTGCCACAGCTTCTGGTACTGCCAGCTGCCAGAAAGTCCCTAGAGGGAGAGGAAGAAAGGTTCTTGGGCTCCCTGCTTCCAGCCCACCAAGAATGCCTCGGTGGAGCTCAGCTATGGGCCCTGTACTCCCCATTTGTATTCTGGCTGGTCTGGGAGACTGGGTGGACTCATTGGGGCTTGCCTCCTGGCCTTTTCTTTCTAATACCTGCCCTTCTGTGATTTCCCTTCCCCATCCACCCCTGGTTCTAGATTGTCCTGCCAGCCGTGTTTGTCTGCATTGCATTGGTATTCAGCTTGATTGTGCCACCCTTCGGCAAGTACCCCAGCCTGGAACTTCAGCCCTGGATGTACAATGAACAGTACACATTTGTCAGGTAAGTGTGTGCCTTCTGGGCCCAAGGAGAGAGGAGAGCTCCGGTAGACCAAGGGTGTTTACTGCACTGAGGGCTAAGAAGAGGTGAATTCAAGAATTACACAGTGGAATGGATTTTATCAGCTCTGGCTGAAGCCTTGCATGAACTAATATGGGTGCAAAGAACAGCAGGGAGCTGAACCCGAAATACCAGACCAGTCCCCCGTTGTCCCACTTAAGCTTCTTCCTGTTTATCCTGCTATTGTCAGAAACTGTCATATGAGTCTTATGTATGTCATCTGCCCTTGCAAAAATATCTGTGATCAAGCTCTAATAAATTTGGATTTTTATAGCTATATTTTAATTTTGTAGTTTAATTACAGGGTTTCCATACACTGTCAAAGCATTGTACCACCCAGGCTCTTGTTTCTGTACAGCATAATTAGTTGTACATATTTAGTTGTAGATATTAGCTGGTGTTTTTTCTTTAGACCAAAGTGCCAGCTACTCTGTAACAATACAGTGCTTCAAACAAAGGGACAAAAGGAACCTCTCTGTCTCATTACACAGGAGTGTTCTTCAGTCTTGTAGTATTTATAGTTTGTTAGATGGTGGGGTGGGGTGTGGAGGATTATGTGAGTGATATAAAAGGGAAGCTTAAAAACAAACAAAAACATGAAAAATCCTATGTGAATCAGTCTTTTTCTCTAACTCTATGTTTCCTTACTACTGAATTCAGGTTTACCTTATTCTTTCTTTCCCTAGCTGCTGACCCTGTACTGCCCAGGGCTATGGAACAAGGATTTGTTTTGTATTTGTAACCTGTGCACATTATTGTGCTTTCTAGTTGTTCATGTAAACATTCAGCCAATAAAATCTGCCTGCCCTTTCTAGAAAATCCTGGTTGTCTGTGCCTAATGGATGATTGTGAAAGTATTTTTGAAATACTCATCCTAATGAATTTCTTCATATTAAAATAGATATGTAAATGTATATATGCATGTTTGTGCATACCATACATGAACTTATTCACACAAGCTCCACTTCAGAATGCTATGTTACCTTATACCAAATATGTAGTTAGAGCCTGAGCTCCTCTAGGGTAGGTTTTATGTTTTATTCATTTCTGTTTTAAAAGCTTGGCACACAGGAAGTACCTTGAGTGTTTAATGTAGAAAAGCATTTCAAACTCCCAGTCCTGGTTTTAATGAATCACTGAACTGGCTGCCTCTCATGTTCCCACAGTAATGACGCTCCTGAGGATGTGGGCACCCAGGAACTTTTGAATGCCCTCACTAAAGACCCTGGCTTCGGGACCCGATGTATGGAAGGAAACCCAATTCCGTGAGTGTCACTTGAGCTAGGAGACTCTCCATGGCTGGCTTCTTATGCTTGTCATCTGGTTTGATCTCTAATATACCCATTTATCAGCTATGATAAATGCACCATAGTGACTACTGTCATGTGTCCTTTGAACCATTTTTTATTTTTAAGAAGTTAATAGAGTAACCTAATCAAACCATCTTGGAACAAACAGATTAGGAGAGTTTTTTAATATCCTGCAAAGAAAATCGCCAAACATGTCTGTTTACTGCTTTAGAAATTAATATTTAATTTAAATAACACTTTATACTTTCTGATTAAATGATTTTCCCTTCTTCCTTCCAGCTCCTGTACCTGAAGGCAGAGACAGGCTGCCATTATATATAATTTGCAGTTTTGCTTATTAGCTTCTTCCTTTACAAACCTGAAATGATGATGTATTCATTTCTATAAAAATGGACATTTTCTTTTAGAGTTTCATATTTTTATCTTTTCTTCAAAGTACTCTTTAAGAAAGTGGGCAGTGTATGAATTAATTCAGTGATGTATCTACATGTCTCTCAGTGGGTATGGCAGGACGTATGTTGGCGATGTTTGTGAGGGAAGATAGTGAAGAGAGGTGTGGCTCTTCAGAGAGAGTCAGAGAGAGCCAAACGATGGCAGAGATGAGTTCAGGCTTCGAGGCAGAATTTGCTATTAAAGCTGTTACACCACAGACTCAGGAAATTATAGAGAGTATGGGAAGGTATAGGAAGATTGGAGAAGGACTAACTTGAATTCCAGGTTTTAAAGGGAAGATACCAACCTTGTAAATGACAGACTAAGTGCAATACCTGTGCATGCAAGGTTTTAGAGTTGATTATAGAGACTGTGCACTTGCTATGTTTTATTAGTAATTGGATGCTTAGTAAATGTTAGTACTCTTTTAACACCCAGTGGGCAGTAAATCCCAGCAGCCAATATTGGTTCCTAAAGAACAAGATGACCCAGGTGGAAAAGGACACAGAAACATCGTGTCTGGACACAAGGCTTTTGATGAGATTCCACTTATAAGTTTTATAGGTGAGCTGGAAGAATGAGATGAGATGATGATAAGGTCAAGTGGATTCATCATATGTCAGCTGAACAGTATTGACTCACAGATAGATGCTGGCCGGGGAAGGATGTGTAGGAGCCTGCTCTGGACTCAGCTTGCAGACCGAGACAAGGGGCACGGCCCCTGACACCAGAAGCCCCACAGTGCGGAGGCAGAACACTGCTGAACATGGCTTGGGGGTGGTCTGATGGAAGGGCCCCAGTCTGGCAGCTTCTTCTGAATTCATGTTTTAGCTTTTACAAAAAGTAGTAAAACTGAGAGAAGTTTGACTGGGACATTTACCTGTGGCATCTAACTTGGTCTCAGGCCAATCATTTTGTGAAGGTTTTAGAGTGTGAGCTCCAGGAGCACCATGCCTTTGATTTTTCTATCAAGTCAGGGTGCTTTAGAGAGAACTACAGGGAATCCACAAAAGTGTTATTTGAAACAAGAATAACATAAAGACTCTTCCTCTGCTTGAAATTACAGAATTTTGGAATTGGAAGGGACATTAGAGATGAGCAGATGAAACAAGTCATTTTGTACTTTTATTTTACTTAGTGGAGAAAATAAGCCCCTCTTGTCGATGGTCTCACAGTGATTCAAGAGCTCAAGTCGGGCATAAAGGCCTTGTCTTTTGTCACTGCTTGCAAACAACCTAGTTCTTCGTGTACCAAACAATGTCAGCCCTATCCTCTACTTCCGTAGTTCTCTTCTCATTTTGAAACATGAAGTGAACCCTGACGTTCCCCATAGGTTTTCAGCACATTGAGCGGAAAATGCAGATCCCTCCGCAGGCCCGCGTCACCCAGCGCCTGCCTCCCTCTCTTGCTCCCTGCTCGTCAGCAGTCCAGCCGCAGTGCCTTCCTGCGGTTCCTGAGACGAAGCTCGGGGCCTTCACACCTGCTCATGACATTCTTTCACCCCAAATCGCTGCCTGGTCGTTCTCTCTCATTTTTTACATTTTTGGCTGAAGTATCACCTCTTTGGGTGGATCTTTCCCACTTGTCACTCTCCCTTTGTTTTGCTTCATTGTGGGGTGTCAAAGATTATATTATTTGTTGTCCAGCTTTCCGTGGGAACATAAACTCTGTAACGGCAGGGACTTTGTCCCGGTCACCCCAGAATGTACACACACATGCTCAGTGAATATTTGTTGAGTGAAGACATGGGTGAGTGACCCCATGCTGGTGGACTCAGCTGAATGGAGTTCAGTATGCGAGCATTTAGGCCCATTTTGCATTCCATCCTCCTCCTCTGTAAAGTGAGTTTGCATCTTACAAGTCTGTGGGGGATCAAATAACGAAATGCTGAGGGGACAGATGCTTGCTTGCAGTTGATGTTGCTTATCTGTGCTCCCAAGGTAACAGGAAAGGCCAGGCCCTCTCAAGTGATCCTACCCTTGCTGTCCTCCCTTTGCAGAGACATGCCCTGCTCAGTGGGGGAGGAGGACTGGACCACTGCCCCAGTTCCACAGACCATCACGGACCTGTTCCAAAATGGGAACTGGACAATGGAGAACCCCTCACCTACCTGCCAGTGCAGCAGTGACAAAATCAAGAAGATGCTGCCCGTGTGTCCACTGGGGGCAGGGGGTCTGCCTCCTCCACAAGTGAGTCACTGTGTGTGCAAGCAGGTGGGGGGGTCATGGGGGGCTGGGAAACTTCTGCTTGGGAAGAAGGAATGGATGACTTACCACGTGAGGGGGGCTCTTTCAGTCTTGATCATCATTCTTGTCATAGGGAAAAGCATGGAGGGGAAGGGGTTTGGACCACATTGTGCTTCTATCTGAGGGAGCTCAGCCTGTGACTCTAGTTGGAAAAGTTAGCCTAGGCTACTAACTTGTGTGAGTCAAAACCAGAGCACAATACCCTGGATCAGTGGCTGTGGGAGACACACTGTGGCCTCTTCTGCAGAGATGGTGCCACAGGAGACCATGACAGGCCCACTTCCATCCCTGCTCTGCCACAGATGAGCTGGTGACTTTGGATAGACCACTCAGAGTGGGCCTGTTTCCTCACCCCTGAATTAGGGAGGCTGGCTCATAAGATTTTGGAGGTTCTTAAAACTCTGACATTCTCTGAGACTCTGAGTGTGGGAGGCAGTTCTGAGCTGTTTTCTCTGAGAGCAGCTTGAGGAAGAGGCTTGCTTGTAATACTTCTCTGCTGCTTTATCAGCATCCAGGTTTCAGGGTGAGGACCATAATTTTAAATGGGTGTGAGAACTTAAAGAGGTTCTAGTTATCTCTCCTTAAAATAACAGCTAGGGGAATTATCAGCATAACTCTATCAAATTAAAGAATTCACTAGGTATAGTCAGTGATGCTGCTCCCTAGGCCTTTGTGAGTATGCAGAATCGTATTCTGTTGTCTATGTTTAGTTGTTCACAATAACTTCCTGGGGATGATCTTGGCTTAGCATAGGTGATGGCCAGTACAGAGTGAACCAGGCCTTGGTGCTGGCTGATGGCCGTGCCTTGGCCCTATGGGCAGGATCTGGTCTCACTGTGGTCCATCTTTGAGGGACATATGTCATTGTAGTCCTAGATTTGTTTTCTGCCCCAATTATGGTCCATAAAGACACTTGTGCTTTGTTTTTCTGTGATAACAGAGAAAACAGAAAACTGTGGACATCCTTCAGAACCTGACAGGAAGAAACATTTCAGATTATCTGGTGAAGACTTATGTGCAGATCATAGCCAAAAGGTCATTACTTATTAAACTTGCCCCTTGCTTTATCAATCCTGATTAGAGAAATTAAAGGCTTAAAAATAGTAGACTGAATGGTGGGGGAAATTTTGGCCTGATACTCTCCCAAATTAGAGAAGATAAGTACTGTGGACATTCAGCTGTCAGCATCAAGTTGGGACTGCCTGGAATAATCACAGTTCTGTGAATTAGATAAATTCTGGCAATCTAATAATGCACAGCATTGTGACTGTAGTTGACAACACTATTATTTGCTTCCAATTTGCTAAGAAACTCTATCTTAAATGTTCTCACCACAAAAAAGAGAGGATAATGGGACGTGATGGAGGTGTTAGCTAATGGCACCATGATAATCATAGTATACAAATATATTAAATCAATGTGCATGCCTTAATCTTAAATAATGTTACATGCCATTTATATCCTAATAAATATAAAGAAATCTGGATTCAGATTTGGATTCTGCCACTTAACTATCTGCTTTACCAAGGTAACCAGTTGTCCTTTAAGAAGACTTAGTTCATAAAAAATGTGATGATAATGTTGCTCTTACCAGTTTGTTGGGAGAATTAAATGAAATGATAAATGTAATAAAGTGCCTCTTGTGGATGGAATGCATGATACTCTGTGGCATTATGAAGAGAGTCTGGGCTAGCTCAGAACTTGGCTGTGGAGCCCTGGAAGAGCCATGTAGCTTCCTGGGTCATCACTGCAGTGTTGGATACTTGGTTTAAGCCCTGGCACTGTTTGCTCCGGTGTCCTTTCGGCTGCTTGTGCCTCTCAGTTAGGAGTCCTCTGTGACTTTAAATGACAAGGGTATGCTTAAATGGCAATTACCATGAATTTCCAAGAAAGAGACATAGACTCTCCATGTCATTCATAGTTGAAGCATTACTTTGAATTGAAAGAAGTTTCTAGTTCCATCTCATCTTTGTACATAAGGTGGTTTTTGAATGGTTTCATCCAAAGCATGATTTTCATATAAATAAGGTTTTAAGATGGGGGAAAGCCTGTTGAGTAGGGCTTCTTTCCATTGGCACAACCCTGCCAGACCTGCCTGATCATTGAATTATTTTTGTCCCTTTGTAGTGTCCTCAGGTAGATAGGTACTCCTTTTTGTATCATCAGGAATAGGATCCATGTTTCTGTGAACTGATATTTGGTTTCTTTGGCTTTTCCAGCTTAAAGAACAAGATCTGGGTGAATGAGTTTAGGTGAGTTGATCTCTTTTTGTGCTTTCTTCTAGTTTTCTTGGCTGTGGTAGTTCAGTCAAGAAATGCAGGTATCTTGAATAGTTCAGTCAGGAGGATGATTTTAATGCAGGTATCTTGAATCTGGGGAAGTTACTGGTTTGTGGATTATTTTGCCCTTAGTGTTTCTGTTCAGTGCCCAGTTGTCAAGTTCAGAGGCCTTTAAAATATTTGGTATACTGAGTTCCTTGAGGAAGTTCAGCAGTTTCTTAGGTGTCTCTAGGGATTTACCAGGAAGCACTATGCTGTGAGAGAATATCTATGCTATTTCCACTTTTCTCCCAAATCAGATTCCCAAGGGGTCCTAGAGACTCAAGTATAATTTTTCAAGCCTTTGGAATGAGACCAAGAAGGTCTTGGATGAAATGAAAGGCACCAAAGCCATATATTTTCACTGTATTTGAACTCATTTATCCTTCTGTGTTTTGAAGGAACAGGTGGGACTGGGGAAGAAAAGGAAGAATCCTTGAAGTCACTCAATATTTCATGAAAAATGAGACCTTAAATGGCTGCCTCAAAACTTAGCTCTGTCACTGTTTTCCACCTTTCCTCTTGGCCTTTTCCCCAAGGGCCAGCACCCACAGGACTCTGAGCAGAGCAGATGCAGAACCCTAGAGTGGCCCTCTTACTAGGAAAGAGCCAAGGCCTATGGATAAGCCTTCCCTAGCCTACCCTGATCAGTGTCCCCCATCATTCGTCCTGATTCCCCATCTGCTTGCCTCAAGACCCACTGCAGGTGTGAGTCACAAAGTGGGAGGAGCATCTGTGAGATGGACTGTTCTCTCCGCAGTGTCTCAGATGTCATACTTTATGTGTACTTAGACCCAGGTCCCTCCCACTTGGGAGGACCTCTCTTAATTCTAACCAGAAGAGTTAAGAGATTGTCAGAATCCACTGGAGGAGGCCAAGCTGTAATATTCTCTGACTTCAGTCCTACTTTAAGTAAGCAGTTTATCTAAATGAAGCATGCACATGCTCAGGTGGTGTCTTCTGCTGAGTGACTGGTATTGTGTACCACATTGTCTGTGTTTTAATGTCAGGCTGTTCTTTTAGGTATGGAGGATTTTCCCTGGGTGCCAGTAATTCTCAGTCACTTCCTCCAAGTCAAGAAGTTAATGATGCCATCAGGGAAATGAAGAAACTCTTGAAGGTGGCCAAGGTACAGTATGCATCCTAGGACATGTCAGAAAAATGTCCTAGAGAACAATGGCCCAGAGTTGCTGCTGCATGGGAGTAGTGGGCAGGCAAATCTAATCACCTAGCCACTGATTGTTTTTAAGATTTTAAATACAAAGTCATCATTGGCATGTAGTGATCTTACACCAATCAGGACTGAACTACTCAGTGTATATTTAACATCTGAAAGTGTAGATGAAAAACAAATTCATAAATTTAAAAGCTCTCAGAATAACAAGTTTTTGAATTTGGCCAGTGGGTAAACTGGGCTTCAAACACATTTTTCTAAAACAATCACTGGTTAAAAAGGTAATAAATCATTTTCTTTAAGCTGGCAATAGGCTTCAGGACCTGATAAGCACTAATTTCATTTGTCTATATTTCAGGTTTTCCACTTTTAAATGAGAATTGTGAGGGGGTCAGATGATATGGACTCCAAATGGATAGCAATGACAGTCCTAGAGTTTGTACCTCTGCTTCCAAGGCACAGACCCCATGTGTCTGACACATTTGCACACTGAGTGTAGTTTTGGGGTCTTACACCAGGGAATCTCTGAAGAATCCTCATCACCCAGTGAAGCCAGACATCTCTATCTTGTGACTTTGAGTCGCAGGGTGTCCCCATGATTCCTTTAAGATTTTTTGGCTCCTGGAAACATCAGTGCTTTAGATTTATCGACACTTGTTTCTTAGGAGCCAGTTATTCAGTGGCTTCAAATTTCATTTCAGTTGAATGAGGCAGTGATAGTGGTGCTCTTCATAAGGTTGTCCCTGTTGCCCTTGTGAACCATCCCAGCTGAGGCAGGTTTCTTTTGTTCACAGGACAGTTCTGCAGATCGATTTCTCAGCAGCTTGGGAAGGTTCATGACAGGACTGGATAAGAAAAATAACGTCAAGGTAAAGCACTTTGTTCCAGTAGCTGCTTGATGAATAGTAATCCTTATGTTCCGTGAAGTACTTTCAAGCTCATGATAAGATGATGCAGGTATTCGTGACAGAGAAAGCCGACTAGTAATTTTATCATTTAGGCCATATGGTATAGTTATTAAGGGAATTTGCTTTGCCACCAGATGTACCAAGTGAGCCCTTGTGAACTTAATCAAATTACTTATCCTATCTCAGCCTCAGTTTCCTAAGCTATAAGATGGGGACAGTAATCAGGCTATGTCAGAGTTGTGGTGAGGATTAAATGACTTAGGGATATAAGGGGGTCAGCACAGTGCCTGGTCACATGGCCAGGGTTCAGTATGCCTGCCTGCTGTTACGACTTTGCCATGTTCTTTGACTGTAATGTTTTGTCTTGGTGTGTGACTGAGAGTTTCTGCAATTTATGTGTATGTTTTGTGTGTGCATCTACCACTGGGAGTAGAGTTTGGGAATATTACCTTGTACCTGGTATACTTTATTTCAGGTGTGGTTCAATAACAAGGGTTGGCATGCCATCAGCTCTTTCTTGAATGTCATCAACAATGCCATTCTCCGGGCCAACTTGCAGAAGGGAGAGAATCCTAGACAATATGGGATCACTGCTTTTAATCACCCCCTGAATCTCACCAAACAGCAGCTTTCAGAAGTGGCTCTGTAAGTGTGGCTGTCTAAATGGCTGGGTGGGTATGGAGAGGAGAGGGTGTTGGAGGAATCGTGAAGCAGGGAAAGGATATAGGAAGCTGGTTTTGGAGTAAAACCTCGGGAAACAGTTACATTATGGTGTATGTCTGGGTTGATCCAGGCTCTGGGAAGAAAATTGTCAGTTTATGAATTGCCTGGCAGGGATTAAACTGCAGAAGATAAATGATTCTGTAGTGAATAAGTAGGGTTACATGTAGTGAATTCATATAAAATGAAAAAAGTTGTTAATAAAATCCTAAAATATTTTAATTTGCCATTAATACAATGTTTAATAAGAAATAAATTTCATTTGCTTCAAAACCACTGTTTTTAAACTTGGTGAAACATGCTTTTATCAGGTTGTCTTTAATTCCTGAATTAAGCCTCTGTGTGTGTGTGTCTGGGTGTCTGTGTGTCTCTCCTCCTTGGCTGAGTCTTCGGCTGCGTCAGTGGCCCCTCAAATCCTCACTGCCTTTCTTTTCTAGGATGACCACATCAGTGGATGTCCTTGTGTCCATCTGCGTCATCTTTGCAATGTCCTTCGTCCCAGCCAGCTTTGTTGTGTTCCTGATCCAGGAGCGGGTCAGCAAAGCGAAGCACCTGCAGCTCATCAGCGGAGTGAAGCCCGTCATCTACTGGCTCTCCAATTTTGTCTGGGACATGGTAAGGGCACCTGTCTGCCGCTGCCTTATACATGCCATCGGGGCTGTGGATCGGATGAACAACACGGCTGTGCTCTGCTAAAAGTGTTCTAACTAGACTAAAGATAAATGAAAAAGGAAAAGGTAGAAGCAGTTGTATGTTCTCATGACACCAACCATGATGTTAAATACAGAGCTGATTTCACATCAGAGAGAAAATTTGTCCACACCGACTACATTTAATACCACTACCACCTTATTTCCTAAGTGACAACTTCTCAAAGAAACCTTGAGATGGAAGACTTAGTCAAAACTCCAGTTTCTCTCTTGTCTGATAGTTTTCTACCTCCAGAATCAGGGTGTTATTTGCTTTACTAGGAAATATCTGTCATTGGAAAACCATATTTTTTTACCAGGAGCTTATCCATCCATTGCAAATATGTTTTTGCATCAGCTCTAATACATTGTTTCTGTTTATACCAATAGAGAAGACTTCAAAGAATTCTGAAGTTTTAATTTTTATAGAGTTGAAATGTATCTCCCTATAACTTCCATTAATTATAAGCTATACAGAAATTTAATTCTCCCACTGCACAATTGAAGATAACTTCATTTAACCTATGTTTTCCCCAGATAAGATGGCACGTGGGAACACACTTTGTAATCTTTAACGCAATATACAAATGTGAGTGGTGATGCAGATGGTGTCTGTGCTGATTATACTGAGCCTCTCGGACTTGCCACTATTCTGATACTATTGCCTTTCTATGGCCATGCATTGTATCATTAAGGTGAACAGTTAGAAGTCTAGAGGGAATTTATCTTTATCCCGTACTTCTTTTTATTTTATTGATTGATTGACTGAATGAAGTAGTTGATATATAATTATGCCATACCTCTATTACTAAGCCCCAGGGTATTTCACTTTGGAAGGAGCACTGTCTTGTTGGCAACTTGGTAGTAAACTGAAACTCCATTCCACAGGAATGATTGTTGAGTGGGTTCTCTTTCGTTCTATACTAATACAATTGACTGTTTTGAACCTGAACTTTATAATTAATCTTATTAAACTGCATCTTGTTTAGTATCCATTTGTTTTTGTTTTTATCCTGATCTAGTAATTACTTCATCCAGTAAATACATGCTGAATGCTCACTGTGTGTCGACTGCCTGCCATAGGAGATTCAGAAATGAAAGAGCAAGTTCCTGAACTCAGGGACTTCACTTTAACTTTCTGTATATGATCCATCTCTCCCTGCTTTAGAGCCTCTAAAATTTGCTGTAATCATGTCTTCATCTAAGTTGTTGATAAACACATTGGGTAGGATGGGAATGAAGCAGAACCCTGCTGTCTGAAGCTACAACTTCTTCTAACAGCTGACAAATCCACTCTTGCCTCCCTGCTTATGCTTTTCTCTGCCCACTATGAACTCTCATAATTGTCCCATGGTCATATCTTTACTTCTGCATGTTAATGCTTGATACATCATCAGGATAGACTTTCAAATTATTGTCAGTGTGGTGAAACAGTTCTGACGTTTGTGTTAAAGCGTTTATCTCACAAAGAGATTACCCATGAGACTGAATGTGGGTAGACTGACACAGCCCTCTTCAGGAAGAACAATGAAAGCTTAGTTGCTGCCTGTAGAATTAAAATTACTCTGGGAATCATCGTTCAGTAGGTTTACTAAGCATCACACTTTGGCTTCACTGTTGGAAAGACAGAAAGGGCATGAGTTTATAAAATCAGCCAAGGGTACAATTCTTGTCAAAATGTATTGTCCAGTATTTTGATTGTTTATGTGGCTTTATTAATTCAGAGTTATTCTCTAATACATTTATCTGCCCTTTCTTGTCTGATGATGGTGAAGACTTGAGATTTATCTTTAAGGACTTAGAGGTGAACTTTGTTTCCGTGTTTTACCTTTAGTGCAACTATGTGGTCCCTGCCACACTGGTCGTTATCATCTTCATCTGCTTTCAGCAGAAGTCCTACGTGTCCTCCACCAATCTGCCTGTGCTAGCCCTTCTACTTTTGCTATATGGGTAAGGCACCTCTGGATGGGGGAAAGGCATTTGGTGCTCAGTGTCAGAGAGGCAGGGGACACCCAATGGACATTTGTCTTTGTGCCTCACCAGGTGGTCGATCACACCTCTTATGTACCCAGCCTCCTTTGTGTTCAAGATTCCCAGCACAGCTTACGTGGTCCTCACCAGTGTGAACCTCTTCATCGGGATCAATGGCAGCGTGGCCACTTTTGTGTTGGAGCTCTTCACCAACAATGTGAGTTCTGTAAAAGAGTACCTCCTGCTGGGATGAGCATTTCTGGGGAGCCAGAAGACAGGGTCAAGTCATAATTTTTTTCTGCTTGTCGGTGGTGTTGACACCACAGAGCACTCTGTCCTATCTCAGACTGTCTCTTCCTGGGTTTGCGTAGCACCTCTCTCTCCTCCTTTGCCTTATATTTCTCTGATCAAACCTTTCAGTTTACTTTGACAAGTTCTTTTATACTCTTCTGTTTAAATGTTGTTTTTCCTGACATTTGGCCTGCTGCCATCTTTGCTTTCTACTTTCGATGCTATCTCTGGATAATGGCATTCAGTCCAGAGGCTTTTATCATCACCACTCTCAGTGTCTTAGGTTGTTATCTCTCAGATCTGTGCCTTTAGCCCTGACAGTTCCCTTGAACTCTAGATGCACATTTTCACTTGCCTAGTAGATGGCTCCATTTAGATAATTTACAGATATCCCAGACTCGACATGTCTAATTATTTTCCTTGCCATTCCTGTTACACCGAAAGGCATTGTCATCCCCCCAGTTGCCTCTGCTGGCCATAATAGGGTCATCTAAGATGCCTTGCTTTTGCTTATTTCCCACAATTAACTGGTTACCTTGTCAGTTCTTCCAGTTCCAGATCTCTTAAACAAGGGTCCCTGTGCATTCCTGTTGTCATTCCCTTTGTCCAAGCACCTTAGCACACAAGGCCTTTCGGAGGTGTGCAGCCCTTCCTGGCCGGTAATCACTATATCCTTTCCCAAGACTCTGTAAACCTCAGCTGAGTCGTCTCTTAAACCCTCCACACTCCTGCAGGCCTGGCTTAAAATGTCCTTATCACGGAGTCTGGTGGTTTCTCCCTTACCCTTCAAGACTGAGTCAAATGTGAAGCTCCCCTTACCTGCCCTATGGGAGATGCTGTCTTTTCCCTGTGTTCCCAGGTTCCTTCATTCTTGCCTCCAATTATGTAGTAATTTCCTTAGAGCAGAGACTGCTTCTCACTAACTTTGCTTCTCACATGCCCTATCAAGGTACACCCAGCACATAGCTTCTTACTCAGATGCTGGTTATTTGGCCACTGCTAACTTAATTTACTTGAGGAAATTCCAACAAAATCCTGAGATTGAAATATTGACCCAGGCATGAGCAATTTGCTTTTAAGATGTTAAGCCAATATATTGTTAGGGATTTGCTTTTGATTAAACAAATCCATGTTTCTATGAACTTTGCTCATATTTCTCCATACTCATAGCATTGTTCTAAATTTTCTAAAGAGCAAAATTTTATTGTTATATATCATCATCTATGGCTGCTACTATTTATTGGTATCTGAATTGAAAGATTCAGTTTAACACCAGGGAATCAAATTTTTTCTTCCCTATACTTTAGACTTTGATAAATTTTTAGCCTAAACCATGAATGACATTCAGTTTTTCTCTCTCTTATTTTTAGAAGCTGAATAATATCAATGATATCCTGAAGTCTGTGTTCTTGATCTTCCCACATTTTTGCCTGGGACGGGGGCTCATTGACATGGTGAAAAACCAGGCCATGGCTGATGCCTTGGAAAGGTTTGGTGAGTGACAGCAATGACTGGAGGATGCTCTAACTGAGGTGGCCATTTTCATGGGTCTTGGTATTCTGCCCTTTGTTTTGGAAGGAGGCTGGAAACGGGGCATAGGTCTTCCCACCACTGATGGTTGTGACATGGGTTTTGTAATACAACCATTTGCCTGTGCCTCTGAATGCACTGAGAAAGTGAGAAGGCAGTTGAGAGGCAAGGAAAACACTGGCTTTAGCATGGATTCAGTGCCTAATGCCACTGGTTGGGTTTGTTAGTCATTGGAAAAGTCAAACCATAGCTTTGAGATTAGATATAGGCCAGAGAATCAGAAGGAAATATGTAAACTTTAGCTCTATTAGGAAAATCATGGGCCTTGCAGATGTGGCCATATATAACCTTTTACAGTCTATAAAAGGTAATTTACTGCAGCTCTTTCTATCTTTAGATAGAGTCTTTAAAAATATTTCTTCTGCAGCCACATTACTATTCTTTATTACTGGCTCATATAGTTAGATGGGCCATTTTAATGGACATAGAAGAGGGACTCTCTTTTTCAACATGGAAGGACAAAGGAGATGTATAAGGAATTTAAGGAGTACTTACATAAAACCAGGTGATATGAGTCATAGGTTATATTACATGCTGTAATGTATTATATTACATCATATGATTATAATTGTAATTGCATTACAATTACATTACACTTTAAAAAGGGACATATTTTTAAGGTGCTGTCTAATTTTTCTGAGTGAAACTTATAATTTACCAAAATACTCTAAAAATTACCTTGGATTGTTTGCCTTTTTAAAAAGGATTTTTGGCATGTCTCATTAATAAGGAAACACTAGCTATCTTAGACGAAGTTACAGATCTGATACATGTTGGCTTTGAAATTCTGAATGATACTGGGTCGCAGTGTGTTTTTCCAAACCCTACTCTAAATCAGACTTGGAGAGTTCTTACTCCCTTACTTTTTTCCTCCTTGTTGTAGGCGATAACCAGTGATGTCTGTAGGAACATAGATGAATTTGAGCCTGAATGGGAGGAAGGGCTGTGGTCTTCAGTGCCTTCATTCTGACTACATCTCTGCATGTCTTTCAGGGGAGAATCGCTTTGTCTCACCACTCTCTTGGGACTTGGTAGGACGGAACCTCTTCGCCATGGCCGTGGAAGGGCTGGTGTTCTTTCTCGTCACTGTTCTGATCCAGTACAGATTCTTCATCAGGCCCAGGTGAGTCTCAGAACTCATGGAGCACCTGGTTGAGGGTCACAGAGGAGGATCACAGGGGAACCCTTTGCAGTGGTCATTGGATTGCATTGTGCTCAAAGCAGATAATCAAACTGATTTTCCTAATGTGGGCATTCCCAGCCCCCAACACTGCCAATCCTGGAAACTGGAGAGTAGCTTTTATACTGCTTTAGAAACTGGATCTTTGTCTTGAAAAATAACTTGAAAGGTTGATTTTTGTAATTTGTTTCCCCTAAGACCTGTAAACACAAAGCTTCCTCCTCTGAATGATGAGGATGAAGATGTGAGGAGGGAAAGACAGAGAATTCTTGATGGTGGAGGGCAGAACGACATCTTGGAAATTAAGGAGTTGACTAAGGTGAGGCAAGGGAGCACAAGTCAGAACAACGTCTCTTCAGTTTTTTCAGCTTTATATGTTGGAAATGAGCCTTTTGCTGATTTGCTTAATGAAAAGAGCATGCTTCCCAAAATATGCATCTATATCAAACCACTGTCAGTTTAATTGCATTTAAAATATAGCATGGGGACTTCTTAATTAAAGAAATCCCACCAAGAATACTTTTATAATGTGAATTTGTATTCTCGAGTATATTTGTTATCACACTTATATTTATGTGTTTGTTGTTAAAGTATACTAATACTGTATACCTAGCCAAAGCTGATGTAGGGCAAATAAATGGTTGATTTGGAGATTCATAGTCCAAAAAGCTGATACATCTCCATTGTTCCAGGAGGAGGGTTTGTTTCAGTACTCTGTGCCAGAATCCCCAAAACTCACTTCTTGTAATATGTACAATATTTGCAATGTCTTGATTATAAAATTTTACCCTGTAGAATTTAATTTTTAAATATTTACAATATATTTATTAAGTAAATTTAAAAAGTGTAGATATTAATGGCCGATACACTTTTTTAAAAGGTTTATATTAGATTAAAAATGAAAAGAAATTAATTTTTATTATGAGCTTCAGAGTCATTCAGAAGTTGGTTGCTACACAGACAGACCAAGGCTGTTGGCACATCAAATATGTCACTTAGTCTCATCTGTGAGTCCCATTTCATGGTGTGTTTGGGTTTAAATTCCCTTTTCTACAGTTGGTTGGCATAGCTGTGAGTTGCCATAGCTCATGACCTTTTGCACTTTCGTTTGTTTTAGATATACAGAAGTAAGAGGAAGCCTGCTGTTGACAGGATTTGTGTTGGTATTCCTCCTGGTGAGGTAAAGGCACTTTGTTTACATTGTGTTTGTCCTTATTAATTCAGACTGTTTCTACCCAGTCAAATAATGTCTGTAAGAGGTAAAATTGTTTTTTAAAGGCTTCTTTATTTATATCTATGTGGAGCAATCAGTCATTGAGAGGATGGGGACCCCATATGTCAAAAGAGAACAATTTTGGATAATCTCAGGCAATTTCAGAAAAGCATGCACATGCAAAATGTGATTTTTGTGATCTTTTCAAGATGATGGTGAAATTCAAATAGATTTTTAAAAATAGATTTTCCCCTTTCCCATTCATGTTTGTGTTCTGTACCTTTAGCCAGATCAGATGGTAAGATGTGATTGGTTTGGCTTTCATTACTATGTTTCATACATTAACTTTGGCCTCAACCTGATGATTAAATAATACTTACAAATATGCCCACACTTAAAATGGTCTCATGATAAGATATATTTTTAAATATCTATATGAGTTCTTAAAACCAAAAAAAAAATGTACTCTTAATTGATATTTAAGAATGGTATTTTAGGATCATGTAATATAAAAACTAAGCTGAGGCAACTATAAGGTTCATTTATATGATCTGTGTATTATGGATATGTTTAGTAGTAGTTTGCTTATACAACTTACCCAACCTTTTTCAGTGCTTTGGACTTCTGGGAGTCAATGGGGCTGGGAAATCATCAACTTTCAAGATGTTAACTGGAGATACTACTGTTACCAGAGGAGATGCTTTGCTTAACAAAAATAGGTAAGAAAAGATAACCACTACTTACATTTCCTTTCATTCTCACTTTATTCTTTTTATCAGCTTTATTCAGGTATAATTTACATACCATACAGTTCACTCGTTTTAAGAGTATATAATTCAACGACTTTAAGCCAGTTTGCTATCATCACAGTCCAGTTTTAGAACATTCTCCTCATCCCAAATCTATTGTATATACACATGATAAATCTATTATATATACACATACACATACAAATGTGTAATTGACTTCATATTGTACCTAGGTTTTTAATTTACTTTTTATTACTAATTACTATTAAAAAATAGTGTATTATGGATATTCCCCAATAGGTTACATATCCTAAGATGTAGATTTTTACATTGCTGCATAAAATTCCCCTATGTACATGTACCTATGCTTTATTTAAGAAATTCCTTATTTGGGGACCCTTAGTTTCTATTTTTCACTCTGTAAATATGTCCTGTGTTCATCTTTTATTATTTCTTCAGGAAAAGTCCTATAAGGTAAAAGGGTGTGTACTTGCCAGGTTGCCCATTCTAAATTGTGTATCAGTTATTGAGGCCACATCAGGCACATTATCTGAGAATGCACAGGCCACCAAGCAGGCTGATCTTCAGGGTTACAGCTCTACTTTAGAGACCTGTTAGGCCATGTTACCTTTGAATACCCTAGATATGTAGGGCTTCTCTGGGCTTTTTATGTGGGGAGATGGAACAAGGCAGTGGTTTTTAAACTTTGATAACTATGACTCATAGTGGCCAGTACATTTCACCTCTCAACCCAGTAAATACACAAAAACATAAACATGCATATAGCTTAAAGCTTTGTAAAACAGTACAAACCTGCACTACTTGTAGCACTCTCTGATATTTCTTTTTCTACTCTCTACCATGTCATTAGAAAATACTAGTTGTGACCCACTAAATTTTACAACCTGTTAATGGCTGCTGACTCACAATTTGAAAACAATGGACAGGGAACTATCAACCAATAAAATTGAAAAGTGCAAGGGACTGAATGTACTTATGGATCTCCTCCTCTGCCTCTTACCAGTTTTTTCAGTATCAGTGTAAAGGAGGTTTAAGAGAACAGAAATTCTGGAATAGCAGGCCTAAGGCTGCACACCTGCTTCCCCAGGCTTGTTCCTAGTACCAGGCTCCTGGGACATAGTAACTGGCCCAAAATAAGGTTTGTTACAGTGACTGGTTTTAAGAGCTGGCTTGGGTAGTGTAGCTATCAGGGCCAGGTACAGTGTCTATGGGTACCTCAATCATAAGTCTGGAAAAGGTAGGACATGGAAGTACTAATTAGATACGCAGAGGGGAATGAATACCGCTGACAGGCAAACTCATAACTGTCCAAAGGCAGCTGCAATGCAGCCCTCAGAGTAGATGTGACACTGAACTTCTCCCACATTGGGATTCTAACCTGAGATTGGCTTCATAGGGCCTAAAAGCTGCCCCAACCCACCAATATATGTAAAATTGCATTTGTAGGTATATTTTTTTCTTGTCACCAAATTCTCAGAGGATCTGCAATCAAAAACACTTAAACCAGGAGGGTGCCTGGTTTGGGCATTTAGTGGAACCAAGTGGTCTGGACCATGCTGAGGCTGAGTCAATATATAGGCAGCAAAAAGCAGAGGGAGGTCATGCCAGAGTTGCTGGAGGTTCTCTGCATCTGAATGGCCATGAAGGAAACTCCGGAATAACAAGACATTTTGGTACATATGACTGGGCCACAGAGCTGAGTATGGGGTGGGCACTCAGTGTTAAAGCCCCACGACTGTGTGACCGAGGTTGTTGGTAAGGATGGTGCTGCAGCTGGGATGGACTTGAGAATTTTGAAATGGTACTGAGCCTGCAGGTTGAGGTTTTGGGGGAGCCACATATGAGAAAGGACTGGGCACAATAGAGGCAGAAACCGACTGCCAGAAGGACTAGCATCCTGCGGGCAGAAAAGCTGTTCTTTCAAGCTGCGGCAATTGTACTCACTGGTATTTCTGACCTGTGTAAGCATACTTCATAGGGATGTTGGACAAGATTGTTTGAGTATCTCTAAATGCTTAAAACCTGACCAGTTCTGTTTTTATTTGCAGTATCTTATCAAACATCCATGAAGTACATCAGAACATGGGCTACTGTCCTCAGTTTGATGCTATCACGGAGCTACTGACTGGAAGAGAACATGTAGAGTTCTTTGCCCTCTTGAGAGGAGTCCCAGAGAAAGAAGTTGGCAAGGTAACCTGGGTACCAGAAAACCAGGCCGCCTCCTTTGGCATACTGACGACATATCTTACGGCTTTGACTTTCACATGACTGTTGGCTTGGGGCTGGTTTCCATCGTGGGTGCAGCACTGTGGAGTGCTGGCTCCCTGCACCTCCTCTCAGAGCGGGAATCGTGGTGGAGAAAGTGGGCAGGGATGGGTGGGCAGGCATGCTGGAGGGCCGAGAGGGAGTACTGCTCCCACCCACCTAGTCCCTTCCCCCTGCTTTTGGCCCCTCAGTATTTGCCAGGTCATGCTTATAGAAGCTAGTCCTACTCAGTGGAAGAGTTTCATATGTAAATGTAAGAAAGCATGATAAAATTACCAAACCAGACAAAAGTCATGGTGCTTTTTATTGGTCTAATAGGTTGGTGAGTGGGCAATTCGGAAACTGGGCCTCATGAAGTATGGAGAAAAATATGCTGGTAACTATAGTGGTGGCAACAAGCGCAAGCTTTCTACAGCCATGGCTTTGATTGGCGGACCTCCTGTGGTGTTTCTGGTGAGTGTGATTGTCAGTGGAAAACTGCTCTTCTGGCTTGAATTGAGAACGTGACTTTCTAAAGTCCTACATGTGTAGGGATGTTGCATGACTGGCTTGGAAATGGCATGCCTCACTTCCCTGACCAGGAACAGCGGAGCAGCCTCAGGGAACCAGAGGGAAGCAACCTTGTTCTTTTCCTTGACACTAATTGGGGGTGGTTCTGCCATGCCCTCAGATGCCCCAGAAGAGACACACTAGATACCTTGTTTCTCTAGCATGGAGAACACTGACAAGTGTGGCTAAGGCTGGATATGTGATTTGACCTTTCTCTGGAACATTCTTTCTGACCAACTATGTGTTCATCCCTCTGAGGATGGGGAGTGTGGATACAGCTTCAGGGTCCCCAAGGTAGCACCTGGGTCATAGTTCCTTACATACTGATAGATGGAAACAGATTAGACTGGCCAGTGGCCCTCAACCCTGTTTTTCTCTAGAAGACAAAAGCATTGTAATTATTATATGAAGAAAGCTTGGTTAAGGCTTTAGTGTTGTCCGAAAAACTTGGATCTGGAATTTGTTTCTATAAACTACCAAGCACCATAGAAAGGCTAAACTGTTGTGAGCTACAATAAAAAAGAAGAAAAGGAATTTTACCCAAACTTTATACTGACTTCAGTGGAGATTTCAGACAAAAGAATTTTTTGTATATACTTGGCAGTCATGAAAAAATTATTGAAACTAAATGTCTTTTCCCCTTCCCTTTCTGTTTATTTGGAGAAACTTTATTTCACAAACATTTGAATTTACTACTTCAATGACACATTTATAAGTGAACTGTTACAAATGAGTATGAAACTTTTACTTGTAAGGTCTGGTTCTTTGGTCTCTCAAGAAATAACTAGAAGGGCAAGTTAAAATTTAAGCTGTTTCAAAGGTACTTCTGCATTTAAAAACAAACTTATCTTTGTTGTTGGGTTTTTTTTCTTTCCAGCAAATAATAGGACTATTTTATTCTAATTACAGGATGAACCAACCACAGGCATGGATCCCAAAGCCCGGCGATTCTTGTGGAATTGTGCCCTAAGTATTGTCAAGGAAGGGAGATCAGTAGTACTTACGTCTCATAGGTTGGTAGTGAAGACTGGTGTGGCTTTTGTGTTGTGTAATTTAAAATTTTTCCAAGTAGAATATATGATCATTATATAAAAATTAGAAAATACAGAAAGAGAATGAGAAAGACAATTGTAATGACCTGAAATTGCATCACTAGATTACTGTTATTGAGCTAAATATCTTTGCAGATTTTTCCTATGAAAATCTGTATGCACAGGTGCACACATGTGTGTGTTTACAAGCAAAAATGCAAGCTTAGTGTATATATATATATACTGTTCTTTTTCATTTAATATATTGTGAACATGATTCCAATTAGTAAATTTAGATGTCATCACTTCTTACAGCTATTAGTGGATGGTATTCCATTAGAATATACTCAAATTTATTTAACTGTTCCTGTCTTTGTAGATATTTGGACTATTTCCAACTTTTTTCACAATTGTAAACAGCAGTGGAGTGAACAGTGTTATCCCTACATCTTTGCATTGTAATAGGTTGCAGTTATGCCCTAGGAAGCTGGAAATCTGTTTCTTTGAAATGCCAGATGTTATATGATGTTCTGATGGTTATAGGCACATCTCTCCAAAACTAAAACCTCTGTTTTCCCACAGTATGGAAGAATGTGAAGCTCTCTGCACTAGGATGGCAATTATGGTTAATGGGAAGTTCAGGTGTCTTGGCAGTGTCCAACATTTGAAAAATAGGTAACAAAGATAATTTCTTTGGGATAGCACCTTCTGAGAAAGCTTTTATTTATTTTTTTCTAAGTGTATAAATGGTGGCTCTAAAGAGAAATAAACTGAACCAAAAGATATAACAGAAAGAATGAAAGTTTTGAAGTCAGACAGAATTGCATTCAAATTCTGTCTTTACCTTTCTGAGAGTAGTAGGAGTGCTAGGAATAGCCACTTACTAGCTTTGTCATATAGATGAAATGGAAAAATTTGCACATGTTGGTATGGTTAGAGCATCAAACTCTATACTTTTATGCAAACTTTAGACAAATGTTATGGCTTTAAAGTCAAACACAAACCAGTCCACATCTTGGTCTTACCACTTAGAAATTCTGTACCATGAGCAGGTGACTAACTCCTTGAGCTTCAGTTTCTCTATAACATCTCTCAGATTTCATAGGTTCAGATGAGGATTAAGTGAAACTGTGTGTCAAGGCACTCAGCATGGTACCTCACATGGAATAGGCATTTAATAAATGGTAACTAGTTCCTTTTCTGAGATACTTATTTCTGGGTCAGTCAGGGACCTTGTTTTTCATGGCACCAGTTGGGTTTCAGGGCTAAATATTCTTTTGAGACATTTCCTGAGACTCTTCCATACCTTTTTTTTTTTTTTCTGTTTTCAGGTTTGGAGATGGTTATACAATAGTTGTACGAATAGCAGGGTCCAACCCTGATTTAAAGCCTGTCCAGGAATTCTTTGGACTTGCCTTTCCAGGAAGTGTCCTAAAAGAGAAGCACCGGAACATGCTGCAATACCAGCTTCCATCCTCATTATCTTCTCTAGCCAGGATCTTCAGCATCCTTTCCCAGAGCAAAAAGCGACTCCATATAGAAGACTACTCTGTTTCTCAGACAACCCTTGACCAAGTAAGATTTGAGTGTCAAAATAGATTTACTTCTCAGGGTGAGGATTCCTGTCCCCTGTCCCCTATCCCCATTGTGGGCCCTAGAGCAGTTCAGGCTGAGTTTGAATTCCTGACCTACTGGCTATGCTTTTTACTAAAGTTTTCCAAATTTGGAAAAGGGAGATGATGTCTCTAGCTTATAGGGTTATTAGATTGTAACAATAATCATGAGAACTACCATTTATGGGTACCTGCCACAGACAAGGCATTTTTCCAGGTACATCATCCCATTTAAATTGGACAACATCAAGTAACAAACAGATCCTGGCACTTAGTATATATTCAGTAAATGTTAGTTTTCATCCCTCTTCCCATTAATCAAGCCTGTATGAATCAATGTAAATATATGATTGAGCACTTGGTGATTTGAGAGGCAATGTAGAAGGTCAATTTTTAAATGGTTAATGGGTTTTCAAGTATTCCCCTCTCCCTTACACAGAGTTTTCTAGTTAATCTATTAATGCAGTCTTCTATTCTCCTACTTGACCTCATTTCCACATGGGGAAAAAAATCCAACTGGAATAAAGAAAAAGCTATTTTTATAAAGGCCTGTTTTTCTTTTGACAGGTATTTGTAAACTTTGCCAAGGACCAAAGTGATGATGACCACTTGAAGGACCTGTCATTACACAGAAACCAGACCGTAGTGGATGTTGCGGTTCTCACATCTTTTCTGCAGGATGAGAAAGTGAAAGAAAGTTATGTATGAAGAATACAGTTTGTACAAGGTGGCTGGAAAAAAGGGGTAAATAGCCCTTTCTTTGCACCATGTGAAGTGCTCCAGAGGAAAGAGCTAGAAGTTTGTGTGGGAAGAATTAAACTGGATACTGTACTGATACTATTCAATGCAATGCAATTCAATGCAATGAAACAAAATTCCATTACAGGGCAGTGCCTTTTTTATAGCCTGTGTCTTGTATGGCTCTCGAGTGAAAAAGACTTGAATTTAGTTTATTACTTTATTATACTATGTGAAACTCTAGTATGGAACCCAAGGACATATGGGTTTGAAATACTTTTTTTATTCCTTTGTATTCTCACTGGGGTTGCAACAATAATTCACCAAGTAATCATGGCCAATGATTATGAAAATCAAAAGGTGTGCACATTCCCATTCATTAAGCCGTGCCATGCCAGAAGACTGGTCTCCCAGTGACACATCCATTGCTGGCAATGAGTACACCAGAATTACTAGTGCCAAGTTGCTCAGAAAGCACGAAGGACCATGGTGTGTCATGCACACGTTTGTGAAAGCTGCTCTCCTCAGTCTATCGTTAAATATCAGGTGACAAAAGGTGCCATGTGTCGGGAAAATACTACTTTGATTCCCTCTTTGATGAGCTGCTCTGGAGGTAGTAACATACAAATTGTGCCTCTAGGCAAGTGAGGCTTGGTTCTACTGTTACATTGTCCCTCACTTGGAACCATGGGTCTCCAGCGTCATCTTTCTGGTACTCTTTAAGTATACTTAGATGCTGTCTGGAAGCAAAGAATCAGCCAAATTGTTGGGGTTGCAAGCTGCTGAGGTCAGGGCATGAGATTAAAGAGATGGCATATTCAAACCTAGGGAGGCCTATGTCTGTTTGTCCTGGTTATCTACTAACATGGTACATTGCATCTCAAGATTTTGTTGTTTGACATAAGTGTAGTATTATTTCTGGCTTTCTGAACTATGTAAACTTAAAAAGATGGAGCTGTATTTTGACAAAAATCTTTGTACTTTAATGTTATCTGGTTTAAGTTGTCAGTGATTTCTGAAACCTTAGAATGGCCTCTTTGCAGAACCCTGTGGCATAGAGGAGTATGGCACACTGCTTTGCTAGCTTTATTTTCTCATGTAAGTTTGCAAGTTTGCAGATGGATTAGCTGTCTAGTGTTTAGTGATTAGAAAACAATGTGATGGTCAAGATCTCCTGACATTATGTTTCAGTTCTTTAAGATCATTTAACATACTTACAATCTCAGTTTGTTAACCAAGTATTTTTTGAATGTATGTTATAGTTGAATGAGTATATGTATGTATGGATTGGGTGAAGAGAAATTAAAGTAGATTTCCTGTGCCATTAGTAAGTCCACTAACTGATTTAAAATTTAAAATAATAGTTTTTTTTTTTTTTTTGTGGTTGTGGAAGCCCACTGAAATACTGGGCAGTCCACTTTTTGAAAATATCAACAATGCAAAAAAAGCCAAGAAAGTGTCAGTGTCACAAGTGTCACAAGAGTGAACGATGGATGCCAGCACAGAGAAGGCGGCTGGCTATAAAACTTGTTGAACACAATTTGTGTTTATGATATTTAGTACCGTTAAATAGTTGGCTTTGAAGATTTTAAACACCCCATTATGACAATCTCAAATTTGTCACCTCTTCAATCACTAACCTATCATGAAAAAATTAAAAACAGCAAATGCCCCCATATGAAGTTTATTTCAGACTTTTCTAACTCAGTCTTTTTTTTATAGTAAACACTTCACAAAAATATTATTTCACTAATGCTTAATGTTATCTGTCTTGAGACAACAAAAATATGAGAGAACTAGAGTTCAACTGATCTATTACTATCATTACAAATTTCTTTTTTTTCTAAGTTTTTAACTTTATGAAGGTGTAATATTTCAGATCTATTTCAAGTCTATATTTTTTTCTTTCTTCATTTACAGACTGTTTTATAGCTCACTGCTTGGAAAAGAAAATGTCTTTTAGAAAGTAATGCTAGTATTGTTTTCTAAAATGATAAGTAATGAAGGCATACTTCCAATATTCATTGGCATAAGAACAGTATATTTTATGCTATCTTTAATTATCTAAAATTTATAGAATAGTTTCTCCTATCGAACTTAAGTATTTTCCATTTCACTAGAATCATGTTCTAGTTCTCTAAATCCATGAGCAGCTCTTCTTGCTTTAATTACTCTGACTTCAAGGCCATATTTAAAAAAAACCAAAAGGCACTGTGAACAAGTTTGAAAAAAAATACAACTTTTCAATAAAGATTTAAAGGATCTCTTCTGAAGCTGGAAACAATCTACAGTTACACATTGATTTCATTGATACTGTTACCTTTTAGACTATCAAACTCATAATCTTCTAAATTTTCCTGTGTAAGCCTACTTACAGCAGAAACTTTTACCCTCTCAGTTGAAATTTCCATACATTCCCTGTGGAAATATAACTGTGAATTTAAAAAAGAATTTCAAGAGTGTTTTAGGATTTCTACTTTGGTTTCTTTTGGAAACCTCTAACAACTGTAAGCAGGAAAAATACAAAAGAAAACAGTAAGAAGCCCTTTGTATGTAAATGTCCAACACAGTTCATTATTAAAAAACAACCAAACCTCAAACTACTGTATTTCAAAATCTGTACTGAAAGCATTGTGACTATTTAATGTTGCATATCATTCATTCCCTGCATAGTAATCACTGATTAAAGGGGAGTTGTCTGTTTTCTTCTTGTGGTTGTACACATCAGGTAAAATTTTTTCCAAAGAGCCCTGTGTCATAATATTGTACCACTCTGATATTGATATATTAATTTGTACTCCTGTTACTATTTACTAGGAATAATATATATAGTAACATAGCTCTAATTCTCTTCAAAGTTGTTGCATCCCTTTTGTATTTCCGTAAGGATTAAGAATTCTACTCTCCCTTCTTACCCTAGGACAAAACTATGTTTTTGTGCTTTTTATCATTGGCCCATCATTCCAAGCACTTTATGCTACTCGAATGGGATCTATTTTTGCACTGGAATATCAGAGAACTGCAAAACTAGACAAAAGTTTCACAATAGATTTCTAAGTTAAATCATTTTCAGAAAAGGAAAAAAACAAAAAAATTTGTATTGTCAGTAACTTTATATGAAATATTAAAGCATATTTCTATGTTGTAATGAGTCATGAAATAAAGCTGTGACAGTTTTGTTGGTCTGTACAAATTGATTTTTGTGCATTTGTAGCACCACCTACTGTTAAAGCTTATAAAGCCATTATGGGAGTAAGAAATGTCCACTTGTAGAGGGGAAGCTGTGTGGCTTAAAAGTGAAAATTTTAGAAAACGTCTTGTTAATCACAAAAGAGAACTCGGGGGACTTCCTGGAAAGAAAGGGTGTTTTGCACTTTCATGATTTAGCTAACTGGCACTGAGTTTAAGCAATTTTTAGATAAACTTATTCTGCTTAGTGATTTGAAAGCTGTGGAGATCTTTGAAAATATTCTGTAGCTAAGCTTATTTAATCAAAGTCTCATTACTTCATTTGTTATTGAGCACTGCAAAGGCAGTCTTCAGTGCTCTTGCTTATTCAGCCGAAATGCAAGGACACGGTAATGACGAGTGTACTGGTAAGATGCTGGGTGTGGATGACAAGGAGGAGCGTGCAGAAGTAGAAGAATGCAGAAGGAGTTATGATACTGAAATTAATGGAGGCGCCTTCCCGTTTCCTGTAAAAAGTGCTGAGCAGTCTATACCTAAGATAGGTAGTGCTACTGTGAGACAAGTGGATGTATTTTTCATAGCTCATTAGACATCAGTTTCAGAAATGATGTCTGCTTATTTCGGTACTTGGAGAACTGTCACACAGCCCTTATTCTGCACATGGTGGAGCTGTGGCTTTATTTATGATCTCTCCTGAATGGCTGTGACGATGTGTGGTGAACAGTCCTTTCCTACAGCGTGGATCTGAACTCTGTGCGGAAGCATCTTGGCTTGCAAGGGAGCCTGGTTGACCATATGGTAAGAGCTTCACAACTTGGTCTTCCCCCCCTTAAAGTTCACATTACAGGTGACATCAATGAAATGATAGAAAACTTTCTTTATGAAGAATGACAATTGAGGGAGAGAATACTGAAAAAAGGCAGTTAATTTAGGTAACAATGTAAATTACCCATGAGTCTTGACCAAAACATTCTTCTAATTAGACAAAAGCCTACATGAACACTACAAGTTCAGAAAACTCTGGAACCTTTGGAATGCTAATGCATACATAAATATGAAAAAGTGTAAGAAAATTAACTTTTTCCCAGTGTTTTACTGTGTTGTCTGGAACTTCATTTAATCCTCAGTAGCTGCCCTTTGAGGTAAGCAGTACCATTTGACATGAGTAAAACTGGCTCAGAGGATAAGGAACTTGTCCAGTTACCCGGCTAGTAAGTGGTAGGGGGTTCTTTTTGGTGAAGGTGGGCATCAATTAAAATTGTCCTTGTAAAATCAAGTTCAGTACCACACAATTTAACAAATGCTTACTTAACTCTACTGTGTGCCAGGTGCCTTTCTAGGTTCTGAGGATACAGCACTGAAGAAGACAGAACTCCTGCTTTAAGGGACTTAAATTTCAATGGAGAAACTAGTCATTTTCACAGTGGATCTGTGAGCAAACATGATTAAGACAGGGGCGAATGCTAAAAAGAAAATGAAACGTGGTGATGGGATAACGATGGAGGTGGGAGTCAGAGATGGCTTGTCTGAGGAGTGACATTAAAGCTCAGATCTGAATAAAATGGGTAGGAGCCAACATTTGAAGGTGGGCAGGAAGAACACTCCCAGAAGAAAACACCTGGTGCAAGAGCCTCAACATAAAAGGTGGGCAAGTTGGGGAAGTGGGAAGAGAATTCTAGTGTCTCTGGAGTGGTGGGGTGGAATCAGAGATGGCCTTGCAGGACATATTAAGGTAGCTCCATGTTATTGTTGGTACAATGAGGAGCCACTGGTGGGTTTTAAACAAGGTAATGGTTTGATCTAATCTGCAGAGAGAACATTGGCTGTATGGAGAGAAAGGACAGTAGAGAGACTAAGAAAGATGGTGGTGGATTGGGAAAGGATAGTAGCAACAGATATAGGGAGGAACAGTAACATTCAGGATCTATTTTAGAAACAGAACCAACAGGACCTGTTGACAGACTGAATGTAGGGGATGAGGGAAAGAGATCATTAAGGTGACTTCTAGTTTGTGTGTTAGAAAGGCAGTTGGTATTTCAGTCCAGAGGTCAGGGGCAGTGATGGGAAAGAAGATAAAAATGGGTGAATCAAGAGCACAAATACGGTACTTAAGCCTTGGAACTGAATGACTGAAGATGACAGAATATTTGTGAGCCCTGACCTTGCCCATGTTTAGAAGAGATGCCAGCAAAGGAAATGGGACTGGCAAGTGAGGAGGAGGAAAATCTACGAGTATGGCACCATATACTGAAAGCTCCAAAATCAAGGTGTTTTCAGGAGACAGAGTGGTTAGTTGTGTCCCAACACTGCTGAGAAGATGAGCAAGATGAATCCGTTCTGACCTTCAGCAGAGTAATTTCAGTGCACTGACATGAATATGTGCACTGACATGAATATAGGCCTAACTAGACTGGATTTATGGAAGAATAAGAGGTAAAGAAGGGAAGACAGTAAATAAAATTCTACAGAGACTTTTGCTTTGAAGGGAAGCAGAAGACATGATAATAGCTGGATTACAAAACTTTCATTTGGATTATTGTGTTAATAGTATAGGCTGCATCTGAGTAACATCTCACCTGTACTTACTGATTTTTTTTGTTTTTTAGTCCTTTGACATGTCTTCTATAAGGAGCCTTACACTCTGTACTTTGTTTTCCAAATTTCCCTTAGACAGCTAATTCATAATTTACTGGTATATATTCACAATATGTTTTAGAAACATAAAATAATTTCGCTGTAAATAAAGACTATCAAGGGAGCTTGGAAGTACCAAACCTAGTTTAAGAAGGCAGAGGCACTCAACTAAAATGGAAATTCAAGGTGCTTCAAGGAAAACCCTAGCATATCTGTGGTGGTACTCAATAACCTTTCCTTCTCAGATCAGTATGTTATTTTCTTGGTATTATTTATCATTAATGTTGGTAAATTATTACTGCCATGACCCTATAGCAACTACAGTAAAAGCTCTAGAGAATATACCATAAATACAAAATGCAAATTAAAAAAACCCAGAACAGGTATGTAGGCTTTTATTAGGTCAAGTATTTCCATAACAAAGATCTCCTTAAAACAAATCGAGGTTCCACATACCTTTATTAGTATTCCAAAATGAAAATTCATTCATTATAAATGAACACGTTCAGCATCTAAAACAAGTCTTCTGAAGTATTTTTAACACTGAGACCTAATTAAATTATTTTCCAAGTTAGAGTGACCAATAATTACTGTGAAAACTATTATTAATACAGATGACACAGGTGATACCACACTTTCCCAAGGTAATGAAATTATTTGATTTTATATTATGAATCACATTTAATATCACAAAATAAACTATTGGGAAAATTTATTCTTAATCTCCTAAAAAGCAGACATGATGAAAAGACAGACATTGTATATAAATAATTTAAAAATATTGTCAGGCACAGAAATGTAAAACCATCTTTTGAACATAAGAAAATGCTATAAAGCAAAGGGTTGTTAAAATAGAGAATAAGAGATATTCTGAAAGAAAGAAAAATATCGTGAAGTAGTGGCCAATTATTTCTAAAGTATAATCAATACTGTAATGCCATGAAGAAAACGAACAGAACTATTTCCAAAGGTAGTAGTGATAAAGGACAGAGGTGGCCTTAAAAATGCAGAGATGTGGTGAATTAACCTACCATGTTCTTCAAATAAAAGTGAGAAACTCTTGAGAGAATTTAAGTGCCATGAGCAGACACATCTCATGACAGTTAATGAAATACTTTGTATTTCAGTGGAAAACTATTTCAATGGTGAAAATGAAGTAGGAATCAGAAGCATATTCTTCTGAGACACGAGGTAACTGACGCTTTCCCGAACTGGAAAAAACATTTCATACGAAGGCATATAAGGTTTTTGACTAAGTCAAATTTGTTCTCAGAATAATTTGTGCTTAGTGAAATAGCTTACCAGCTGCCACGATTCTGGGATCCTCATGGGACTGATGTCTCCCAGCTGCACGACTCTCTGCACTCTCATTCCACCAAAGAACGTGAACTGAAGAAATAGACCAGAAATAGATTCTAAAACTATGGCATTATTAGAAATAAGAAACACAAAAAAATTAATCAGAAACATTAAATCTTACTGTTTAAATAAAAATAGTGACTATCAAAAAGGTTCAAGTAATAAGTATGTTGATATGATTTCAGAGGACTCAGATTTGGCAGAGAAATTTATAATCAAACTGGCTTTTCAGATGAAGAAACAAAAGTCTGGAGAGAGGAAGTAAAGTAACAAAGCTGAAGACGCAATCTGGACTAGACCTAGGTTTCCTGACTTCCTACTGCATTTTATTTTAAAAATAGCAAGATTATAAAAAAAATTGCATTTACTACTAAAAAACTGGAAAGAAGAAAAAAAGTAGCATAATACTCTTAACCATCCAAAGAAAACCTCTGTTAATATTTAGTGTATTTCCTTTAAGAAAATATGAGTAATTCAAATTAGGGTCTATATATTTGAAAAAATCAACAATGTGTATTTTCTATGGCAATAACAATTTTTAATGGCTATGTGAATTCCTTCTTATAGATAAAAAAACTTTTTATTACAATTCTTCATTGTTGACTATATTCAAAGTACTGCAGTGCCCTACAAAATACTGAAATATTCTTATACTTAAGTCATTTAAAATTTTTTTGTAACTACAATGTTACACATGTTAGCTGTCCAGATTTTAGAAAATACAGGTAAATAAAAAGAGAAAGCAGGAATCATTTCTAACCCTACCACCTTGAAATAAGCACTTTTTTATGTTGGTGTATCTTTTCTACATCTATGTATATGTGTATGTATTTTATATGTTTACATACTTATATTTATATAGCATATGTTTATGCTTATATAAAATACATGATGTATATGTATTATAAGTATACTATATACATAGGGTCATACAACCTTCTTTCCAATATTTCCTTATTGTAAACAATACTGACATAGCTTTCCTTATTGTAAATAATCCTGATATAAGCTATATATAGATATATAAATGTAACAATGCAGACAAAATAACTACTACTAATATTTATTGGCTGCTTTCTATGTGCCAGGCCTGATTCTAAGTATTTTGCATATATTAACTCACATAGTCTTCACAATAATCTTAGGTTATTAATATTATCATTTTATCAATAAGTAATGTAAGGCACAGTAAGGTTATGGAATTCACTCCAAGTAACAAAGTTAGTAAGTGGTGAAGCTGATATTCAAATCCAGGCAGTCTGGATCTGATTATTTCCTCAATATAAACTCCTAAAATTCAAATAGAGAACCAAAGAGTATCTTATATATACTTGGAGCTGTATACAGTAAGTATATATATATATATATATGTACCATCCTCCATAAATTTGTACTGATTTACACTCAGCATTTTACCATTTTCATCTTCTGCTAAGAATCAATTTATGATTAAAGTGTACACACAAATTTTCAGTTGTTTTTAATAAAAGACATATGTCCATTATGAAAAGTTAAAAGACTTAATAAACATTAACTCCATCATTCAAATGACCAATGTATATTTGACATCATGTCAAATTTCCTTGTTGTATAACTGAACACAACTATGCACCCATGTATATTTACTAGAATAATGGCAAAAATAATTTAAAAATTAAGGGTTTTTATTTATATTGCCAAATCTGGGGGGGAGGTGGAGGAGATTAAGTCAGTATGAAACACACTCAGTATATGAATACTTATTAACCTAATACCATAGCTATATAGGTGAAAAATGGTAGCTCATTATTGTCTTAACCTGCATCTTCTAATGTACTTAGTAGTTATATGTACATCTTTACCTTTGCATAAATTTATCTTTTTCTTTTTTCTTTTGAATTTTGTTCATGGTATTTTGGGGCATGCAGATTGAAGCCTTTTTAGAATTAAATCATCAGGCTTTTTTCTTCATTGTTTCTTTTGCTTTTTACTTAGATACATAGTTCTCATCCATATTATTAAATAAATCTATATTTTACTTTAGTAATTCTATGACTTTTTTCTACTGAAATTTATAATCTATTTTAATTTTAGCATATGGTGTGAGGCAGACATCTAATAATTTTTCTCTTCATATATTTTTCAACTTGAAAATACCTTTTTCCTTATATTTTAACTATTTTCTTAGGATATATTACTAGTAATTATATTTTTGGGAAAAGATCAGAAGCTCAGCTTTGAATATATTGGGTTTGTTATGTCCATATGTCCACTGGATGTTCAAATAAGTTGAGTAGGCAAATGGATATAATGAGTCTTTCAGTTTTTTTTTTTAGCTGTTCTTAGGCATTTGACCTTCCAGATGAACACTACATACATTTTTTAGAGTTTGCCACAAAAAACTATCTAAAATTCTGACTGCAATAAACTTAAATTTAAAAGTGAAAAGCCACAAGTTATTATTGTTATTCATGTATATGTATTATTTCTAGCATATATCAATATATAAAGTAACATTTTGGTCTTCGTATTCTTAATGTCATTCGTGTGTGTGTGTGTGTGTATGTGTGTGTGTGTGTGTGTGTGTGTGTGTATGAATGAATGATGTAAGAATACAAACACCAAAATGTTAATAGTACTTAATCTCTAAGTAGTGGGAAATGTTTTTCCCCCTTTTTGGGCATGTTCTAGTATTTAGCATTTGTAAAAATATGCTTTACTTTTTCATTCAGAGACAGTCTCTCTACCCTAAGTAATATTATTTTAAAAAATCAGAAGTATATTTAGAGGGGGAAAAGAAAATATGGAAGAACAGTTTTTTAAACTCTGCAGTTTTTAAGTTTTTAAATGTTAATCATTTTGCTGTATCATGGAAAACAGCAATTCAGCATTTGCAAAAGGTGTTAACATTCTAAATAAGATGTAAAACAGATTTTTTTCAACCCTTAAAAGTATAAAAAAACTAAAAAATTGGCAACCAAAATTAAAATATATGCTGTACTGAAAAAGAGAGACAAATAGTTCCAAGGAACTTACTTAGTAGATAACCAATGTACTTTGCGGTTTTCTAGAAGAAATGAACAACTGTACCTCTGTTGAGTGCTCCATATTCTGTGTGGAAAACTCCAATTAGCTTTGAGTAGCCTAGATCAACATGGGCATTAATTGCCCTTTTAAATGCGTTACCCCACAGAGGTGGCCCACCAGGTTTCATCTCAAAAATAACCAGTTCGTATACTCCTGGTGTAGGAAGAAAAATAATTATTTTACAAAAGATATTCAAGAAATGTATAAGCAGGTTAGTCTGGTTCCAGTGGAAGGCTAAACTATATATACAGATTTGGAAGATCATACATATATGCATGTTTATACAGATATATTTATGGATTCTTCGCATTATTTTCTTTGTTTCTATGTTTAGAAAGTCCTTGTCCATATTAAAGGGTCAAGTTGTAAAGCTTACCAAGGCTTCAGAGGGTGTTAACATTCTAAATAAATGAGATGTAAAACCAAGGACAAAGAAAAAGGAAGACATGTTAAACTATTATCTGAAATATTTTTAATCTATAAAATTTGTCAATAAAACTTATGAAAATTTGTAATAGGATTAGGATTTTAGAGCTGAGTTGACACTTGAAGGTGAGGAATGAATAAAAAAGAATTTTCTCATCTCCTATATTTTCTTCCTTCTTTGCAATTTTGAAGAACTACTTTTTTGTTTGTGTAATTTCCCTCAATAGGATTCCACTTCTAACAGGAACAGCAAGCAAACAACAGACCCAAAGTGATTTCTGAGTATTTGAGGGAGGGAAAAAACAAAACAAAACTAAACAACTGAAGGAGATGATTTTATTGTTCCTAAATACCAGATAAACACTTGAAAAGTATTTTATCTTCTGATTAGAAGTATGGTGCAAGTAGAAAGAACAGGGTACAAGTAGATTTGATAAGTAAAAAGAGAAAAGTACAAAGTTCCTAAAGAACTATGAACACAAAGGAAAAGAACCAAGATTTGGCACTGCCTTAGAACCACCGAGTTTCTTTACATAGTGCCAGAAGCTGAGGAGAGGCTGAGGTGGGTAAGGATCCAAGTAAGTCTTTTCAAGTCTCTTCTAATCTAATACATGGTAAAAAATTGGGATTATGGAGGAAAGAAAATTTAAATTAGTTTATGCTTTTTAAAAATCTTACTTTTGTTTAAAACTAAGTTGAGGTAAATATTTCCTTAAGTCAGCAAAAGACAATGAAATCAGCAAAAAGGTAACTCTTCAGTAATTATTTTCAAACTTGAAATAAGAAAAAGGAAAAGTTCAACTAGAATAATACAGCTTAACATTTAACAGTTTATTCATTCATTCCACCAAAACAACCAGTCTTACAAGCAAAGCTATACTTAAAATGTTTTAAAGGTAACTAATTTGTGTAAATAATTACTAAACTATAAGATTTCATATGGTATCTTTTACCTAATGGTACATTTGTTTTCTTTGCTTCAAATCTCCAACTTCTCATCCTTTACTTCCCATGCCAACTTTTTATATTTATACCACAAGCTTAAGAGCTTTTCCAAATTGGAAAATATTTAACACTTACTGTTTTAAAAAGCAAAGAACTCATATTCAATCTTATCTCTATAATCACAATCTATTCCTATATAAAACAGGGGATTATTATTTTTTTTTCCTATGCAACGTTAGTTTTTATAGCTTAAATTCTTTAGTATTTTCTACATCAAAATTCAAAGTGACTAAGAGGAAAAGACTTACCTTCTTTTGGAGGCTTCTCTAATTTGCACCATGGCACCAGATAAGTAATCTCATTCTGATGTTCATCTATGAGAGGCAAATTTGGAATGAGAAACTGTTCTTGCCATTCCTTATCTTTGGCCAAGGCTTTCCGAACTTCAGCTCGATGAGCAAAATTATCTATGTGGAAGAAAAGGAGTAAGAAAAATAAAAAATTTTCAACTTAAAATCACCTGTACTTTTTCTGAGTTTCATTCAATGCATCAAGTGTTCACTGGGGCCACAAAGATACTGTGTGTTCTGTCACTGGATATCCCGACATAAATAGATATGAAATGTGTCCCCAAGTTTCTCATGATTTGAAAGGAGACTGGAAATGTAAACAACTGAGTGTAATGTCATGGAGTGGGCTTTATAGGCTGTACCACTTAGTAAGCCTTTGTGTGATTTAGGTGATTTAGGTAGGTTACTGAATCTTTCTGTGCCTGTTTTTTACTCTGCAGAATAGGAATAATGATAGAGGATCTATCTCCAGGGTTGTTGTGAGGATTAAATGAATTAGTATATGAGAGGAGCTTAGAACAATGTTTGGAACCTAGTTCATTCTCAATACTAGTTAATGATTCTTATTAGTTGAGTTGTGGAACCTAAGTTACATTGCCGATTCAGAGAAAGACTACTTTTTCTTCAGTGGTGGTGGTGTTGGATGGTCAGGTCAAGGCATACCCTGAATTAAATTTAACATAAATTAAATTGAGATATACTTTCTTAGGCTCTTCTTTGAACAGTTTCCAAAGAAATAATACTGATTCTCTTACTTATTGTCATCCATTCTCTTTGTTTAGTACTTATTTCTCTTCTGTTTGCTACTTAAACAGCTTTTATATATATTTACTAACATGTGGGTCTAGTACTATATTTACTATTATGGCCTCACTGAGACTAATGGTAAGAGTTCTCTGTGATTTATGCTGGAAATTAATCACGGAGCTTGGAGCTTAAGTGAGTTCTATCAGGACCTCACTAGTAATTTTTTTAGTAATGATCCAAATGGTGGGACAGTAAAACTCTGTTGTAATGGGGTTTGTTCTACTACAAGAGGGGAAAACTGAATGGCCATGCTAAGTAATACTTTTCATATTAAAGTACTTAATGATTATTAACTTGGGATACTCATGACCAAACACTAAATGAAATTATTAAAAGTTCTTTGGATATCATTAAGTCCTGATGTGCACTTCAGAAAAATTAGAGACTGGAATAACATTCTATGATATAGGAATTCCTATAACCTGTGTCAATATGGGGAGAACTCTGATTGCCCTTAACTTTCCTACAGCAGCTTAATGAATAGCAATTCCTCAAAACCCTGGGGTTTACAAATGAAACAAAAATGGTTCTCTAAACATAACAAACTGTTAAATCTCAGAGTTGGGTGAGACCTAGAAGTTACCATCTCCATTAACTTCTGCATCCTTAAGTTCCTACATGTTTGAATTGTTTCTGCTAAAATCCTGATACCCACCCATAGCTTCTCCCTTCCTTTATGATCTTAGTTCACTTGGGCTTTTGCAATCACTGCTTTAAATTTTTCATAAATCATCTTTAAAATAAACCATTCTATAATTTTTCTGAGAATTAATGTCTAGTTTATGATTTATGATTTGAAAAGTGAGATGCCACATTTTCCATTTATGATAACTTACGGATTTGGGCAAAGGATTGTTAGAGGTATACCACTGGGAGTAGTAATTAGCAAATTTGTTTTTATGTTGTTGTTATCCTTTTTAAAAGTTTAATTTGACCTGTGTCTGTTTATAGTCATACAGATGTAAGAGATGTAAGGTAACATTTATAGAATGAAAATCTCTGTTGAACACTTAAGCTGGAAATATCATACCATACTTCCAAATATGAAACACTTTGTTGATTCTGCCTCCAAATTCTGTCTTCCAGAATCCAATCAATTCAGAATGAGCTGTCCGAATATGTATGTTTTTCTTAATGTTTTCCAGAAACTCATTCATCTTTGGAGGTTTAAAGCAATAAGTACGAAATTCGTAGAATGTTCCATTGTATTGTCTGGGGCCAGTAGCAAAAGATGAACACACCTGAAGAAAGATAAGACAAATTTAAATATTCTGGGAAGGCAGGGTTTATAATATTGTTATAGCTAAATCTGCACCTGGGAACATGGGACACCCAGCACGCTCACTGTCCACGTTTGGACCTCTGTTGAAATCTCTCAACAGACATTTGTTTAGAGAGATGTCAGTAAAGATAACTACTCTTAAATGTGTTGAACATATAGCTATTATTTCCTAGCAGGGGCCCACTTTTAGCCACCTTTTCATGAAAAGTTGATCATAAGAAGGCATAGGGTCTTAATGAAAGTCCTTTACCCATGAACTACAGTTAGGTTTCTAATAAATTTGCAAATGTTTTGCCACATTTAGCCAATACTCTATCTTAGTCAATACTATACATGCTATAGTTACAGATTTAAATGAACTTTATAAAATATGCAGGTACTTTCACAGGCATGATGGAAGTATGTTTACTAGCAGAAAACTCTTCTTCAGTTATTGTTTTTAAAATGGAAATTGCTATACAGATGAAGGTATTTCCCAAATTTAATGAAGTAGATCACTGGTAAAAACTGGGACTGGAATGTAACCAATGCTAAAGGAAGCTATAAACTATCCAATTACCTTATAACATGGAGGCAAACTGTAGGAATGCTGTAAAGAAAAAAATCAGGGTCAAAGGTAAGAATCATCTGAATCATTACTAGGTTTAATTATAGATAAAATGTGATAAGGGCATTTAATCCATCCATTTATACCACACAGATGGAAATATCTCATAAGAACCATTAGTTATTTTTGTATTAGTCATATGTTCAATATATATATTTTTGTCCTAATTTAATCTCCTCAAATCTGAGTGAATTTAGCTAGGTAGGAAATGCCTAGCCAGAGATTATTCTCTATTTGTACATGTGTGTGTGTGTACATGTTTATACACAGGTGCATACACACACTCATATAGCATCTGTATTTACAAATCTTACTGTAGCTTTTGTTATCATGTGCCAATTTCCTGAAGCTAATTAGAGTTACCTATTAAAAGTTTTGGTACAAAGCAAGCTATGGACAAATGTGGTGTTTATACTGATTACATGGCATGTTAAATGAAACCAGTAGGCTTCTCCCTCTGACATATTTTTGGTTACAACAGACAATTTGCATGTAATACTATAACTATCTACTTAAGCTAATTTCATTCATGTCCCTATTATTACATTCCTATTGTCCAAGTGACTAAGCTTACTTGGAAAACAAGTAGTTTCACCAAAAACAACAGCAGCTACTCCTACTTTGGTGGACATACTTTTTGTGTCATTTTAACCAAATTCTAATAAAAGAATGTTATGTAAAGAAACAACACCCTAGTATTATAGTTTTAAAAGTATTATAAATAGAACACATCAGAAAATGGGTCAGTGGGGTATTTGTCACAATTGCTTTTTTTTTTTTTACAGGGGAAAGCGCGAACGCATTCCCCTCTACCACGAATTATGCAGTTGAGTTTCCCACATTTGGGGAAGTAGCAGGGGTCAGCACATCCGGAGTGCAGGGGATAAGCCTCGCCCTGGGGAAACTACCTTCGTGATCATGGTATCTCCTCTGCCAGGTATGTCTGTCACAATTGCTTTTTAAGTTGATTTGAAGGGAATTTGTATTTGGAAACAGGTATGTGGTTAAAAGCACATATTTGTATTATCTTTCACCGGAGAAAGTAGAGGATATACCCAGAAAAAGGGTAAGCAGCAGTAACGTAAAGTGTGTTATATATATACTTGCGGAGGTGATTTTTGTTACAGGCCAGAAAATAAAATCATGCTGGGGGAGGAATCATGAGTGCTTCAGACTGCCTTCATCTCCCAGTGAGGGCTCATTTTTGGCAGCAATGACTCCCAATTCACTTATAAGAAAACAAATGGTCGACATTTGATAAAGTTAATGTTCAGATGAAAGTTGCAAGGAATAATTATCGGCCCTATCCCAGTGGAGAGTTCAGGATAAAGACTGTTTAGCTAATCTTTGGTGAATGGATCATTAATGCCTCTTAAATTTTCACCAGAAACTCAATCTCTAGAACAGGGTAATCTCCTTCCTATCCTACCAGCCGAGAAAGGAATAAAAAACAAACACCAAAAGGAAAAAATCCCAGGTTAGATTCACAGAATAGGCCAATTCCTGACATTAAGGGCTGAATCGCAAAAATCCGTTTTGTTCGTTTCTTAAGTATGATTAAACGAGGTTGCTATCATTCTGTACACTATGAGGTTCCTGACCCTGTCCGGCCTGGGCACCGGCGGCACGAGAAGGCGGGCAGCTGGGCAGGTGCTCCACCACCCGCCCCCTGGGGCTCTTCTCCAAGGTTCTCTGTAACACGCTCGGAAGTTGTGTGTTTCGTTACACAGGGGGAGGCCGGGTCTTATGCCGACTTGGCTGACCATTTTCATCTTCCACTTTCAGTCTAGAAGGAGCAAGTGGCTTGTCCAAGCACAAACCAAAAGGGGCGGCCCGAGCAGCGCCGGCCGCGGACCGCAACGCCGCGAGCACAACGGTGGCGGGCGGCAAAAACGCAGCAGGCGGAGCCTCAAGGCCACGCGGCAACTGAGCCAGAAAAGGGCGGCCGGCGAGATGGCGGGGAGGCGACGCTGGCAGGCGGGTCGACGCCCCTCGTGTCCACGAGCGTCCCGGGCTCCGGGACTCGCTCGGTAACCAGCAGCTGGGGGAATCCCGCAAGCCTGGTGGGCGCACGCGCAGCACTCGCAGGTCTGGGTGCGCCGCGCGCTCCCTGCAGACGCCCGCCCCGCCCCTTCCCCCCGGCGGGCGGTACCTGAGGCGTCGGCGTCCGCGCGGCTAGACTTCTGGTCAGGGCGCTTCGCACGGCGAGCATGGCGCTGCTTGGAGCGCTGAGAAGGGCAGCCAGCCGGTATTCTTTCTTAGATCCTCCTCTTAATGGCTTCCCGGCTGGACTGCTGGCGGACGCAGGCTCGGGGCGGGACTCGGCGGGGTCAGCTCCGCCTGCGGTGCCGGGAGGCCGGCCCGACTGCCCAGGCCGCTGGAGGCCCGGCGCCAGGCGCGTTTGGCATCATCCCCGACCGTTCAGTCCCCGCGTGTGGCCCTGAACGTTCTTAGCACGTCAGAGGTCACGTTAGGAGCAGCTGGATGCTGAGACGTGCCCGTGTCGCCCTTCTGAGCCCGTCACGTCATCTCCAGGAGCAGCTGCGTGCAGTTCCACGTTTGTGTGGAGAAAGCGAGCGTATAGGGCCCTCGAGAGAGAAGCAAGTGTAGGTGCGTGCGTCTGTAACGCTTCACGCTGCAAATCGTGGAGGTTGCTGCCTAGTTAAGTTTTATTCGGAGTGGCGTCCACACAGCTGAAGAACGGGGAGCCTTCACTCTGCGGCCCTAAATGCCTCCTCCCTCCCCATCGCCGCCCTGCGTGACCCTGTAAGGCTCCCGATAATGATTTAGACTATTTCCCAGGAGCTCAGAGGAATAGGGGCACCGACTAGATACGAAAACGTCTAATTGAAACATACGTAGCTTGAAGTCAAATAGTTCCGTAAGCCTTAAAAGCAAAAGATCAGACTTTAACCCTGAATGCTGGGTTCCCCTGTGGCGGGATCAGCCAATACACCCGTAGACAGTGTGGAGAAGAGAGAGCTTTATTCAGCAAGCCGGCAGGTTGCAAGCTGGGAGGACTGCTGTCCTGAAGACCCATCTTAAGTCAGGCTTGATTTCAAGCTCTTTCTATGCTAGGGAAAGAGGGTTTGGGAGGGTGCAGGAAGGTGACAGGTAACTTCGTACATCTGGACATCAGAGAGGGTGAACACCTCTGCCAGCAAAGGTCGGGTCCTGACACTCATGCAAACTCCTGATAGAACAGTTATTTTGTCTTCCCTCTCAAGTTGTAAGCAAAATTATTAAGCCTTTCTGCAAAGCTGCAGTTTTAAAAATAAATCTAAAAGTGGTCCAAAAAACAGGTAATGCAAAGCTAGAAACATCAACCAAAAGAAACTGGATTATTAAAACTAAAGTAGCAAATGTGATACAGAATAACTGGTTGTTTAAATTGGGTGGATAGAGATGGCATATAAGAGGTGACAAAGTATTATATGTACAAAAGTGTATTTATTATATCTGTACACTCTAAAGAGAATAATAAAATGAACACCTGTGCCCTTGCCACCAAGTTTAGGCAATAAAATACTGTCAGCATCTCAAACTCAGGACATGTTCCATTCTGGTTACATTCTCCTCCCTTCAGCACCATCCCTAACCTCAATCAAATAACTGTGATCCCAAATTTTGTGTTAAATCATTACTTTTCTTGAAATTTACATTTTTATATAATGCTATACCATGCATTGTTTTGATTTGCTTATTTTAGAAATTCTTTACATGGTATCTAAATTTTATTCTTTTGTCACATAATTCTTAGCTTTAACTTTAGGCTTTTGAAAATCACACATGTTAATGCAATCATAATAGTTAATTTCTTTGCTGGATACTTAATTTTTTTGTCCATTTTACTATCATAGTCAGAGATATTTAATTTTCTTTGTAGATGTCTCCTGATACCAATGGAAAAATTTCTCCAAAACAGGCACTCCAAACTTTTTTTGTGTCATAAAACTCTTTGGAAATCTGTAGACTCCAGGTGTTTTAAGATGTGTACCAAATGAATAGGGTTGCAAGATAAATTAAAAGAAACAAATACAAAGCAAACAAGTTGACTAGAATTATCAACATAAATCTGTTATTATATATATTATAGACTTGAAGGCTGTTAAGAGAGTAGATCTCAAAAGTTCTCTCAGTATACATACACATAAAGGTAACTGTGAGGTGCTGGGTTTGTTAACCTTATTGTAATCATTTCACTATATAGCAAATCATCATGTACACCTTAAACTTGCACAATGGTGCATGTCAATTATATTTTAAAAAGCTGTAAAAAAAAGATGAAAGCAAAATCTTTAAGGAGAAATAGACATGATTCTTTGTTATGGTACTAAATAACAAAATCTGGTGGATATATGATAGCACAATTTTGTATTAGTGAAAGCATAAAAGAAATTTTGATCTAACAGGTTATGTATTTTGACAATGTCTATTATATTTATTGGTCATAAAGTCTCCCATCTTGCTAATAATACTGTGATTTATTGCCTACCTTCATAATCAAAGGAAATGCTTATTTTCAGTTAGAATTTGATGACATTAAAGATGTAACTTTTCCCATCCAGTTACCAGATCTTTTATCCATAACCCCCTTGGGGATCTGTGTACTTGAGGTTAAGAACCACTACTCCAGAGTGCATACCTGGTAGTCGAATTGATGGGTCATAAGATATGTATATATACATTTTTACTAAATAGTGCCAAATTGTTTTATAAATTGATGCCTTAATAGCAGTGTATTAAAAACAAGCTTTTCTGACCAATTTTTAATTATTGCCATCTGGTTTGATGAGTGTGAAGATGCATTTTTATACCTCACATAACAGATATTGTTAAAGGGTGAAGAATTAATTATATGAGGTGGGCAAAAGCAACAATCCAGTTGATGGTACCCCTACTTGATTTTGTCCAAAGGCCAGGCTCATGCAGATCTGCAGAAGGAAGCAGGGGAGGTGGATCCAATGCTGGCCCAGCTGAGAAGGAGGGCAATGGCTCTGCATGTAAACTCCAGGTGCTTGTATTTTGGTGACATCCCTGTGTGAGTACTTTCTCAGTACTATATTCGGCGGCCACTAGGTGATGCTATAGACTAGTTTTTCTTAATTATATCTCAAATAGTGGGTGCTATTTTTATGATTATTTTTGAGTTCCTGTAACTTAAGCTATAGGTATTTAGAGTGAAATTAGCTTACAATTTTTTTTATCATAAGGAATTATGTACGGGAGAGAAAAACTTCAGTAAAGATAAGTTACTATCGTTTTATGAGTTACTTTATTATTAATATAAATACGCAGTAATAGCATACCAGTTTTCAAAATGTTCCTAAACAAGTATCCTACTCTTATCAGTGAATATTTATTAAGCACCTTTTGCATATTGAGCATTGAATTGAATGCTATGGGAAAGGAAAAAACACTGGATGCCTGTTAAGCTTGTCAACTTGTCTTGATACTTCTGTATAAGCCTCTTTGCTGCTATTTTTCTTAGGATAAGGAACAGAAAAGATTGGCGAGAACCTCAATGTAAAATATAGTACAAATTTATTTAATGTCTATTAATAAAATAGTTTTTATTACTAAAACACATAAAGCTATGAGTTTATATCCATTATATCCCATTTTAGATGTCCTGTAGTAATTGGATTTATGTTTTGCATTCACAAGTGAATTCTAGTGATGATGACATTTTAAAACCTTTCATTAATACAGGAAGTTATTTCCCAAAATAAGCATTACAAATCTATTGTTTTGGATAATCCTTTTGCCTTAAAAACTAGAGTTGGGGAGAAATACTAAGGGCAAGATATTTTTGGATCTTTAGCTACTTGTTTTACCTTTTTATTACTATATATGACTGGTTTCTTTTTAGGTCTATTTTGAAACACCTAGTAGCTTTAGGCACTGTGCATTTCGTATATGACACATTTTTTTTCATGAAGTTCCTTTTTCAAGCAAATACCCATTATCCAGTGCTCTCCAATGTATTTCTTCATCTCCACAAGTTGTGATAGGTACTTTCCAGCTAAGTAATAGTCACCTTTTAATCTGTTTTAGTTTTACTTGACCATCATTGATTGGTTTTGTAGCATCTATATGATTTCTTAACTTTTCTTTATTCCCAATATTGTATTGAGAACCAGAGCATTAATGTAAGGGGCTTGTAGGCTGTGTCCAAAGCAGAGGGCCTATTGTCTCTTTTGCTCTTTGTTAGGTCCTTCCAGATATTGCCTAGGATTTTCCCAAACACGCTCTCTGATCTCTGTTCAAATGTCCCTCTGTCTTTTATGAAGGTTGACAGAAACCTAATTTATGGGAATTCTGTACTGCTCAGAGTTTCCCTCTGAAAAACATTCTAAATTGACTCTCAAGATAGCATAATAGTACTCCTGGAAGCAGCTTTCATATTCAACATGATTTTCTTATATAATGTAACTTAATATTAAAAAGTATAGTTCCCAGTTTTCCTACTCCTTTGGAATCATCTTATGTTCCTACATAGCACAAAATAAAAACTGCAAGTGGTGAAGAGTCATAACTTTCCAGTTTGCCTCAGTATAATTCCTGTTTCATAGTATTTTTCACTGAATAACCATCCTGAGCCTGTAAGTATTCTGGAAAGAGACATGTCTGTCAATCCATGTTACTAGAGTCTCTTTCATGATTAACTCTTGAGTGAGACTGGGCCCTCATTTGATTGGTTAATCCTTCCCTCATTCCTGTTTAGTTGTCCTCATTTTCAAAGAGGTTTTAATATTTACATAAAATTTTCAAATTATCCATCCTATTCCTATTCTTCTTTGAGAGAATATCAGTGAAACCTATTTCACAGATAAGAGAATGTTAGATTCTAATGTGCCTGATGTCACGTAGGAGCTGACATGTATCTTATGTGTTTTATTTAACTCTTTCTTACTCTCTTTCACTTCACTTTGTGAAGCTGATATTTCCATTTTACACATTAAAACAAAACAGCAAACAAGAAGCACAAAGAAGCTAAAGCTACTACCACAGGGTCACAAAATGAATAGTTTAGAGCTGTTTCATTCATTGTAGTTCCTCTTTTATAATCTAGTGTTATGGGATACCATAACTTAGTTTTTCTTTCCCATGTTAATATTTAAGTGTTCCCATATGTTTATTTTATATATAATGCTTTAGTGAATAACTCTGTATATATCTCCTTGGGCACATTATATGGAGTTAATGAGTGTGGTTTTAAAGTAAGTGGAATTAAATGAACTTCACACTTTTTCTAATATTGATTTATACTACCACTTGCAGTGAATGGGATTTCCTTTTTCTCCACATTGTTGAAAATTCTTTTAAGAGTTTAATATTCAATATTTAGATATTTGATCTATCTCAAATATATTTTGGTTATAGTCTGAGGTAGAGGTTTAATTTTTTTCAATATTAATAGGACATTAAATGTAAAGAACAATTTTTTAAATATTTCATCCATTTCCTAGTGATTTGCAATGACATCTTCTATCAAACAATGTTTATTTATGACATAAATTTATGCATATGCCCAGGCTGTTTCTGAATTCTCTACCCTATTTCATTGATATATTTACCTGTACCAATACTTTTTATATATAATGCTACGTGAATTAGTGTAGCTTTATCATCTGTCTTGACATTTGGTGCAGTAAATATGTAGTTATTATTCTATCATTGTGTTGGCTATTCTTAGTTTTTACATTTAATTTGAATTTTGAATAAACTTCAGAAATAAAAAGTACCACTTTCATTTTGATTGAAATTCTCCTAAATTTATAGAAAAATTTGGTAAGAATTAACATATTTCTCAGGAATTTGTTAACATGGACAAAATACAGCTCCCCAGTTTGTGGTAAGTTTTCTT